ACATTAAACCGACCAAGAAAGAATCATAAATTTTATTTTAAAGAAATAGATATGACAAGAAAAGTCACTAATAGTTACTAAGACCAGAAACTGTTTACTGAGAGCTATAGGTACCCCAGTGCTTACCAGACTCTTTAGCAGCTTAATCTAGCTGATAAATTAAAGAGTATGCTTTTCAATTTGTATATAAAAAAAGATGCACGTAGCAGTTTTGTGTGTGTAGAGAATTACTAAGCAGAAACATGTGCCTCTGTTACAGTTGATGAAATAACCTTTATATCTCACATGGTTGGAGATAGGACTGTGATATGGGAACAAAACAAATTTTCTAAATTTTCACTGAAAACAGAGGTTTAAAAGAGAAGTGGTCAGGTACCATCACTCACGTGGTCACACTAACAGGTCACCCTGTCACTCACCCTGGCGCTCATCGCAGCAACGCCTGGCGTTTAATAATGAGCGTGAAGAGTGACAGCGTTTTATGTGTTAATGGGGTTTGATCGATTCTCCTGTCCGTCATTCTCCACACCCCCGTCCCTCCTTGAGTGACAGACGAGGAGTCAGATCCACCTAGTCTCCATGATCTGACTCACCAGCCCCCCTGACCTGACCCAACACCCACCCCTCCTTACCCAGCCTGACTCACCAGCTCATCCACCCCATCCTACTCATCTTTCATGTGCAGTGGTCGACGAATTCTCAAATGTGGTTGGCACAGAGGATTTAGGAGTCATCAACAAGTGGGTTAGACAATGGGGAGTTGGGTACTCATGTACTCTCGACCCCACAGAGGACCTATTATGCACGTAACAGCGGGACCCAATTTGCATTCGATAATAGGACCCAGTGCGCACCCGACTGTGGGACCCAATATGTCCGCCAGAGTGGGACCCAATATGCACTCGAAAGTGCTTGTGACCCGATTTACTTGCTCAGAAACAATAAAGTTTTTTTTATCGCAGATAAGATATTACGAGTATAGATAAGATACACGTCGTTATCAAGGCGCACCGCCCCCCTTACCAACCGTTGTAGTGATATCCAGAGCATTTTATATCTTAAATATTGAAAAAACTTAGATATTTTTATATTTTTAGTCCTTTTGTCCAGTTACAAGGTTCACGAGGCTCAGCAAAAAACTAGTTCATGATATCTATGATTGTAGCGTTGGGTTATATATGTACAACATATCACCGTGACGACAATGAATAGATCGTGTATTGCACGTTGTTGTAACCAACGTTGCAAATGCAGCCTGCTATGGAAAATTGCAATTTACAAATATTTACGGTTTTCTATGGATCACAGTGATAGGTTAGGTGGGTTGTTGGGGTTCGTGCGTGTCTGGTTAGGTTAAGATGTTGGATTTTATGCGTAGTGGCAAGTGAAGAGGACGGCTTAGTGTCGAGAGGTGAGGTAATTATGAGGAGAAATATTTAAGTTTTTCAGGGGACAGGACGGACGGGAGAATTGGAAGTCAGGAATCGAACTCCGACCTTGCAAGAAGCGAAGCCGCTGCCGTTCCGGCCTATCCAAGTGCTTGGGTGGCAATATATAGTTCTCAACACCATTCACAAAACAATGCATATTACACAACTATTTATCAACAAAATCAAGTCACTTATAGATGTCTTGAAATGAAAGGGTTTTAAGTAATGCAAATTTCCCACACAGCAAATTTTTTTTTTTTGAGAAAATTAAAAATATTTATAAAAAAATTGATCATGAGACTCTATTAAACACGGCCAATGATACTTTTTTGATACTGGTGTCTGTTAGCCAACATCCCACCAGAGAGACGAGGTTCCAACTGATTGATTACGCTTCCACTAATAAACAAAGCCTATCTTAACACTTCACTTGATTACCAATGGTAAACACGGCTCCTCCCGCCAAACACACACCGAAACTACGACGTTGGTACAACTTTCGAACAAGTTTTAAACAACTCCTAACCAGTTATAACAACCAATATAGCAAGTTGTAACAACGTTCTAATACGTCATAAACACGTTAAGCCAAGATGTAACAACTTTATTACAAGTTGTAACAAGCGGAAAATAGAGACAGTTTCGGTTTGTGTTTCCAGGGGGCCATCACTGCCGGAGGGAAGAAGGGCATACATGTGAACACCGAACAAGGTGCTCAGGTAAAACACAACAATGCCAGGCATAATGATAACAAAATAATGGTGTATAAATAAACACATACAAGTCTCATCAGTGAGACAATCAACACATGTGACGCAACAAATTGTGACGTACGTGTGTGTGTGTGTGTGTGTGTGTGTGTGTGTGTGTGTGTGTGTGTGTGTGTGTGTGTGTGTGTGTGTGTGTGTGTGTGTGTGTGTGTGTGTGTGTGTGTGTGTGTGTGTGTGTGTGTGTGTATTCACCTAGTTGTGCTTGCGGGGGTTGAGCTCTGCTCTTTCGGCCCGCCTCTCAACTGTCAATCAACCAGCTGTTACTAACTACTACTAACTAATTTTTTTCCCACACACACACACACACACACACACACACACACACACACACACACACACACACACACACACACACACACACACACACACACACACACACACACACACACACACACACACACATCCAGGAGGCAGCCCGTAACAGCCGTCTAACTCTCAGATACCTATTTACTGCTAGGTAACAGGGGTATCAGGATGAAAGAAACACACACACACACACACACACACACACACACACACACACACACACACACACACACACACACACACAGTAGGGGCCTCGCGATTGAGTGGACAGCGCTCTGGGGTCGTAGTCCGAAGGGCCCCGGGTTCGATCCTCGGCAGAGGCAGAAACAAATGAGCAAAGTTTCTTTCACCCTGGTTCCCGTCTTCACCTAGCAGTAAATAGTCATGTTCCCTTTATTCCCTTATCAGACAGGAATAGCAGACAGCTGCTACGGGCTGCTTCCTGGGGATGTGTGTGTGCATTTGTAAGAGAAATATATATAGTAGACATAATAGAGGAAAAATAAATTGATTAGAAAGGCGGCGCCCAAGAGCTAATAGCTCGATTCTGCAGATACAAATAGTAAATACAAATTGTAAATAGACACACACACACACACACGACTTTAGCGTGGCTCGGGTGTGTAACACGATAGATTAGTAGATTAGCAGTACTCTCTCTCTCTCTCTCTCTCTCTCTCTCTCTCTCTCTCTCTCTCTCTCTCTCTCTCTCTTCTCTCTCTCTCTCTCTCTCTCTCTCTCTCTCTCTCTCTCTCTCTCTCTCTCTCTCTCTCTCTGTCTCTCTCTCTCTCTCTCTCTCTCTCTCTCTCTCTCTCTCTCTCTCTCTCTCTCTCTCTCTCTCTCTCTCTCTCTCTCTCTCTCTCTCTCTCTCTCTCTCTCTCTCTCTCTCTCTCTCTCTCTCTCTCTCTCTCTCTCTCTCTCTCTCTCTCTCTCTCTCTCTCTCTCTCTCTCTCTCTCTCTCTCTCTCTCTCTCTCTCTCTCTCTCTCTCTCTCTCTCTCTCTCTCTCTCTCTCTCTCTCTCTCTCTCTCTCTCTCTCTCTCTCTCTCTCTCTCTCTCTCTCTCTCTCTCTCTCACTCAAGCACTACTGCGTGTGGTTGAACATGCAAGGTTGCACAGACGTGGTGCTGTATTACTAACAGCACGTGGTATCGTATGTAAGAATGACACGTAGTAGGTAGAACGTGGCACACACAATGAACTGATCGTACGTGGCACTTGAGCTGTGGGTGGATGAATGGCGTCATGCGATAACACAGGAGAGAGCGTCAACGTCAGCGGCGGCGGGCTGACAGGGCCTGCATGGTCTCTGCCGGTGTCAGCAGCTGCTTCACGTCGCGACAGACGAAAAGTAGTGGTGGAAAGTCTAGGTCTCACTCTCACGACAGTCTAGAGAATAATACACAAGGAATCATGCAGCAACCGTCCTTCCTCTCTGCACAGTTCACTGGAAGCCTTTCCAGCTAATTGAGTACACTGGAAACTTAGATGAAAAATAACTTGATGTTGACCAGACCACACACTGGAAGGTGAAGGGATGACGACGTTTCGGTCCGTCCTGGACCATTCTCAAGTCGATATCGACTTGAGAATGACTTGAGAATCGACTTGAGAATGGTCCAGGACGGACCGAAACGTCGTCGTCCCTTCACCTTCTAGTGTGTGGTCTGGTCAACATACTTTAGCCACGTTATTGTGACTCATCGCCTGAATAACTTGATACTCTGTTGCTTCTGAAACAGTCACGTGGTCTCTCTCTCTTTGCTAGATTTAGTAACTCACACGGACAGCTAATTCGTATATAATGTCGCAGTTGCAATTCTGAGGTGAGGGCTGAACTATCTTGAAATAGGCCCGGAGTGGGGCTGGTTAACTTGACGTCGGAGAACGTTACGGTGGTCAGAACTAGCTGGCCATCTATACAATACAATACAATACAATACAATACAATTTTATTTAGGTAAGGTACATACATACAATAAATATTTACAAGGATTGTTTAACTTATAGGTATAGCTAGTATATACAATGCCTAAAGCCACTATTACGCAAAGCGTTTCGGGCATTTCGTTTCGGCCCCCTTATCTGGTGGGATCACGCACGTCTAGCTCCTAGAACACAACATCTTGGTGAGGATCCCCCAGGCAAGCGTTCCTGAGCAACCAAGAATTAGATCTATAAACTGACCAGTGAAGAACAGGCACTGGTTGCCACCCCCATTCGCGTAGGCCTTCACTAGTCAAATAGTGACATGGCATGAATAACTCATGACTTACTTAAAGGAATAAACTCTTAAACTTACTTACTTAAAGGAATAAACTTTCTTACTTAAAGGAATAAACTCTTAAACTCTTAAACATTCTCTTAAACTTACTGGTGTCAGTATCACCTGGGCGTAGCCACCGGATGTATCAGAAGATCCTGGAGTGACGAGGCTGGTGGGCGTCGCTTGTAACTCCTCACACGATGTTAAAAGCCACGCGATAATAGATTTAATAGTCTTCTTCTTGAGTCAGACGCGGTGTCTGATGGGCTTGGGCGACCGAAGCGGCCGGCGAGGAGGTTGCATGTCAGTCTCCAGGTGGGCGTCTCTTCACGCACACTTCTCAATATCCGTGGGTAGCCGCCGAGGTCATAAACGTATGTGCTGATGTGTTGTTGTTGTCCCTTCACCTGAACCTCAGTAGCACAGGTACGGACCTTTCCCCCTTACCGTCCTCCTGATTCACTCCATCACCTGAGCATCACAACACGTAGCTATAATGATATTTCAGTCATTATTCCTGTTCCTACTAATTATATGTTTGTCTATCATGAGTATTGTTCTAAATTGTGGTTTTGTGTCCAAGGCATTACAGCCAATACACTTCCTTACGTTCAAGCACAACACTTCCATCACCCAATTATCATATCACGGGATTTTTTATTTACAATTTCCGCTGAGTTTTCTCCCTTATCTGTTTTGCTTAGCTGTCACCTGCACGTTGATCTCAACTAGGACTCATCAGACATTTTCTCCTCTACCTACGAAACCTGTTCATCTTTCCTTACTCATCGCAGCTTTGTTTACATACATGAAACAGTTCACGACCTCGGAAGCCCGGCAAGGTTGTTTATGAGAGTAATAACCTTGGCTTGGGAAGTTTCGAAGCTCTTAAACTGGTTAATAAATGTTCTATCAAAGCCGCCTTGATAGAGGAAAGATGTACAGGTTTCGTAGGTAGTAAATGCTTGATAAATCCTGACTCTAGTTTCTACCTTCCCTCTCAGGAGTCAAAGATCAACATGCAGTGGAGCAGGTGGAGTGATAAGGTCATATTTGTGACCTCTATATTCTTAGCACTTATGAGGTTGAGAATATCACTGTTGGTCGAAGCATCGTCGGCGCCTACCGAGGCTGTTGTCTCCGCGGCGTCCCTGTCATCCGCGAGTAGCCCCGAGCTACAACTGTCATCCTCGAGTAGCCCCGAGCTACAACCGGACGCTCCTGACGCTCTGGGGCTAAGAATGAAGGAACCAGATCGAGGCTCCAAGAACTGGAACATCTCCCTGCTGGTGGGTGTTGACAGGAGCCTCCTTCAGGGACCAGCAAGGAGAGTACTCACAGGTGAGGGTGACAGCCAGACGTCGCCTGCAGCGGAGTTGGCCCACCTGCTCAGCCAAGCCGTTCAGATTCATCTACCTGATTGCCAGAAGGTAGGTCATGACCTGTTTAACATCTAACTACTGCTCACTAGGACCAATTTTTGCTATGCCGAGTGGCGTCAGGCAGGTGACACCTATGAAGCAGTATTAGTGCACACAATGTTCAATTTATTTTATAAATCATGTTAAATTACCTCATTTGACAGGAAAGATCAGTGAACATTAAGGAATACAGTAAATGTTCAAATATAAAAATTAATAGAAACAGGAAACATTTTATAAGCTGGGACGTATTATGCACCAGAAGTCACATGACCAGGATTTATAAAGCATTTACGTGTCCACTTGAGAAACCTGTCCATCTCTTTATCAATCATAACAGATGCGTTTGCATTTATTAAGCAGCTTATGAACTCCGAAACGATACGGGGTTTGTTTATAACGATAATTACCTTGAGCTACGAACGACCACTCATCGTTTCCTAGCTCGTGAACTGTTTAGTGCGAGTTTGCCACGAACGGAACTACGAGTCCAAAAATCCTTGACACCAAACACTGTCTCCACCCCTAACCGTGGTGGCCAGGTGGTCTTATACAAGTACTCGAGCAACGCCACCAGGACCGGCGGGGGAGACGACCAGGTGGAGTCTCAGTTCAACCAGCTGGTGGCAGCCCTGGTCAACCAGTTTGGGAGAGACTGGGAGGACATCTGGCTGTGGGAGTTGGACGCCTTCCTCGCGAGGACATCCCCCACCTACAGTGTCAACACGAAGCCTCACAGAAGCACCCAGGGCGAATACTGTGTAGCCTTCATCGTTCTGGCGGACCTGGAGGTGAGTGCTGTACTGCCTTCACCATATTTGAGTCGTCATTCCTTCTTTTTTATTTTCCGTAGATTTATTGATTTAGTAAGAATGTTTGTTTTGAAACTCAGCCAGTCACCCAAAACTGCTAATATATATAGAAACTATTCGTCGAAACTTGATATTTGTCAGGGGACATGAACTAAACTTTCAAAGTTAGCAAACCTAAACTTTCCTAGGCCTGGAATAGTTCATACATGCATTAATTTAGGCCTAACATGGCATATATTAATCCTATAACTCCTTGTTTAGCCCTAGGACAGGTTAGATTAGGTTGTATTGTTTCTATTCTACATTTAAGTCTGTCATTTGGAATATTCCAATAGTTGAAAACGTGAATTTTTTTCTGGTTCAACAGTCTCTTTTTGTACGTTCGACCGAGTAGTTGTTATAAACACCATTCATTTTGGAGGATGGGTTTCAATCTTCGAATGCCATATATAAACAAGTGAAGGTAGGCGGAGTGATTTATGAAACAGTAATAAAATCATACGTAAATGTATTACTTTTGAACGTAAGAACACTTACGAAAAGGCATTGTGCTCTCAGTTTAATGCTGAAAAAGTCAGCCTCTGAGGCTAGGTAATGATGATAGAATTACAAGATATTAGATGGAAGGTATTGATAATGCGAAGTCTTGTTGCAAAAAAAATATCGTGCGATCATGATTAGTTGGAATTTAATGCCAAAAAATCAATGCATAAATATCCATAATAAGGCAAATAAGACACGGATTTATTTCAGGAAGCGCGAGCAACAAAAACATCTAATGATATTCTTTAACTATATATTGCTCTTGTTAGGCCCCACTTAGATTATGCAGTTCAGCTTTGGTCGTCATACTATAGAATGGACATAGATTCAGTAGAACTTGCATCCTTCCAGTGTAGGATGACAGAGTTAATTCCACAAATTAGAAACATTCTATGTGAAGAGAGATTGAAAAACTTTATTTACATTCTCTAGAAAGACGAAGAGTTAAGGGTGACATGATTGATGTGTACATGTGGGTGAATGGGCATAACAAGGGGGGGGGGACATTAATTAGGTATTAAATTATATAAACACAAAACAATGGATATAAACTGGATAAGTTTACATTTAGGAAAGACCTGGGTAAATACTGGTTTGGAAACAGGGTTGTAAATGTGTTAACAGATTCCCCGGTAACTTATTAGAAGTGGAATCACTTGAGTGTTTCAAACATCCAGTAGATTAGACAAAAGAACATTAGAATTAAGGAAACTGCAAAAGACCTATTGTCCCATACGTGGCAGCTCCTATTTATTTCCACCCAGACAAGTTACCGTGTCCTCCACAGTCAGTGGGAGAAGCGTTCACTAACATACGGAAGGGTTCATGGTTCGAGGGATCCACCAAATACACCTTGGCGTTCTCTGGTGACCTGGTGACTGCTAATCAGGTGATCTCCCATCGTCTCCTGAGTGAGTATAGCCTTCGCTGCAACCTTCATCCTTCGCTGCGTGCTCTGATGATCCTACACCTGTGTTCCTGTGGGGTCATAACTTCCTTTTTAGCGAGCGCTCAGCATCCCCCAGTATCCCACTTAACATGTGACTGCAAATTCCCTTGGGCACGTACAGAGCAGGATCACAGGGTTTACATCAGGAATTAGCAGTCTTCCTAGTGAAGAGAGTTAAAAAAAAACTTAATTTACACTCTCTAAAACACTCAGATTCTTGGTGAGGGATTAGTGTAGATAATACCGCTAGTGGTGAATGTATGCTGTTGATGTCTCTGGCCTTGATGAGTGATTATTGTTAATGTCTCACTGTGAAGGTTAAGTATTACTGTCAATCTATAAGTGTTGAGAACTGAAGTTCCAATGTGAATGTTTAGCACTGATGTCCTGCTGTGAGTGTATAATGTTGATGTCTCTGTCCTTAATGAATATATTACCGTTGATGTCTCCGTCCTTGAAGAGAAGCTAGCAGCATCCTGGCCACCATCTCGTCCTTAGAGCCCAACACTAAAGTCTAAACTAGTGACTAAAACAAGCTTCATCACATCCCAGCGAGTACAGAAAGTTTCAGCACATCACACCGTCAACAGCAGAATTCAGCACATCCCATTGTCTACAGGAAGCTACAGCATATCCTACTTTTCAATAAATCTTTATAATAACTCATCCATTTCTCATAAAGCTGCATGATTAGTATTTTCTCACATTATGCTTATCCACATTTTTTCTTATATTATTCTTACTCTTCAAAGATTTCAGAAAAATCCACTTTCGTTCGTGGGATTTTTTGTTTATGTGAACGACCTTGCAACAGTCGACTAACATCTTTTCACGCGTCGGATTCACTGCGTTTTTATTTGTAACATCTTTATTGGCAAAGTTAATATGCAATTTTGCACAATAGGATAAAATGAATTAGGTTTTATTACAGTAAAGATGCTGCTCATATTCACTGCCACACAGGACAGAGGATCATACATAAGTCAAAAGGTCTAAATTGTAGATTTAAACACACGTATATATATATATATATATATATATATATATATATATATATATATATATATATATATATATATATATATATATATATTGAGATGGCATCTACTACAGGAGAGAGTTCCAACTTAGTGGTAGTCTCGCGGGTGCTGCAGGATTCTCTGGGTCCCCTAGAGAGGAGGTCCCTAGCGAGGGGGTCACCAGTGAGGGGGTCACCAGTGAGGGGGTCACCAGCGAGGGGGTCCCTAGCGAGGGGGTCCTCGGAGCCCCGTGTGTACCAGATGGTGCAGGTCTGTCCATACTGCGCAGCTGGGAGTCCCCAAGTGAGGGTAGTCGCTGAGTGGAGTCCCACCTCAGGCTTCTACAGTGATGACCCGCTCTTCCCGGATCTATTTCAGGTGGGTGTCCCTAGCCCTGTGCACCTCTCCTAAGATAAACTGTACACCACACACATAGTTTACATATGTGCATAAATCACTTGCCTCTGGTGGCCAATGAGCTACATGATCGCAACCAATGGTAATCAACTGTCTGTACTTAAGAATTTCACGTTCAGTAAACGTTAGGCTAGTCTTATAATACCAACTGATATTTAAGTGTTATTCACAACCCGCTTCTGGGTGTGTGTGTACACTGATGGCTTAATTCAGTGTGAAGTTACATCCTTGAACATGTTCACTTCCCGTCAAGGCCCTGCCAGGCCCACGCATAGGCGTCTCCTGCAATAAAGAACAATACTCTAGTAAACGACACCTTGTAGAGCAAGCAGTTCTGATATATATATATATATATATATATATATATATATATATATATATATATATATATATATATATATATATATATATATATATATATATATATATATATATATATATATATATATATATATATATATTAGGTTACTGAATCGTTACCTCACCAACTTAGCTACTGTCAGTAGCTACTGACTCCTACGATAGCAGTAGCTACTGACTTAGCTACTGCTACCGACTAATGTGACCCCCGTGCGGGGAGGCAGAACTTCCAGGGTCACCAGTTCCGTGTGGTGACGCTGGTGTACGAGCCCTTCAGCTGCTACCACAAGGAGGGCAGCCGCATCATGCCGGCTGACAACTGCATTGATAACAACATGCTGAGGGAGATCTCCGCCGTACTCAACTTCACCTATGTCTTCGTGGAGCCCAGCGATGGCCAGTGGGGCCACAGGCTTCAGAACGGCAGCTATACAGGTGTGTTCTGCTAACACTTGTGCTCATTTATATCGTGTATATATATATGTCGTACCTAGTAGCCAGAACGCACTTCTCAGCCTACTATGCAAGGCCTGATTTGCCTAATAAGCCAAGTTTTCATGAATTAATGTTTTTTCGACTACCTAACCTACCTAACCTAACCTAACCTAACTTTTTCTGCTACCTAACCGAACCTAACCTATAACGATAGGTTAGGTTAGGTAGGGTTGGTTAGGTTCGGTCATATATCTACGTTAATTTTAACTCCATTAAAAAACAATTGACCTCATACATAATGAAATGGGTAGCTTTATCATTTCATAAGAAAAAAAATAGAGAAAATATATTAATTCATGAAAACTTGGCTTATTAGGCAAATCGGGCCTTGCATAGTAGGCTGAGAAGTGCGTTCTGGCTACTAGGTACGACATATATATATATATATATATATATATATATATATATGTGTGTGTGTATATCACGAAAATAAACACGTGATTAAGAATGTGACAATGTCAGACCACGGAGGAAAATGAAACAGGAAAATATATATATATAATATATATATATATATATTATATATATATTCTGTGCTGGCTAGGGTTCGAGTCTCCTGGTGGGAAAGTGTTCTAAAGTTGTATACTTAACTCTCGTGTTTAGGAGAGTTGTGCCTTAAGCAGAGACACTGTGTCTTCCCATATTAACAGGGACTTGATGAAATTAACGTCTAAATGACCCCTCACTTGCTCTGGTGCTCTTGGGAGGTGTTGATCTTTGGGGTATTTAAATACTCCGAAATTACCATCTCTTTTAAGGGTCTGAGCGGTGGTGCAGAGGGTTAAGGCGTACCTGTTATGCCAGTTGCTGGAAGGCTTCTGTGTTGGCTAGGGTTCGAGTCTCCTGGTGGGAAAGTGTTCTAAAGTTGTATACTTAACTCTCGTGTTTAGGAGAGTTGTGCCTTAAGCAGAGACACTGTGTCTTCCCATATTAACAGGGACTTGATGAAATTAACGTCTAAATGACCCCTCACTTGCTCTGGTGCTCTTGGGAGGTGTTGATCTTTGGGGTATTTAAATACTCCGAAATTACCATCTCTTTTAAGGGTCTGAGCGGTGGTGCAGAGGGTTAAGGCGTACCTGTTATGCCAGTTGCTGGAAGGCTTCTGTGCTGGCTAGGGTTCGAGTCTCCTGGTGGGAAAGTGTTCTAAAGTTGTATACTTAACTCTCGTGTTTAGGAGAGTTGTGCCTTAAGCAGAGACACTGTGTCTTCCCATATTAACAGGGACTTGATGAAATTAACGTCTAAATGACCCCTCACTTGCTCTGGTGCTCTTGGGAGGTGTTGATCTTTGGGGTATTTAAATACTCCGAAATTACCATCTCTTTTAAGGGTCTGAGCGGTGGTGCAGAGGGTTAAGGCGTACCTGTTATGCTAGTTGCTGGAAGGCTTCTGTGCTGGCTAGGGTTCGAGTCTCCTGGTGGGAAAGTGTTCTAAAGTTGTATATATATATATATATATATATATATATATATATATATATATATATATATATATATATATATATATATATATATATATATATATATATATATATATATATATATATATATATATATATATATATATATATATATATATATATATATATATAATATATATATATATATATATATATATATAATATATATATATATATAATATATACATATATATAATATATATATATATAATATATACATATATATAATATATATATATATATATATATATATATATATATATATATATATATATATATACATATATATACACCAGTGGTGGTACCCCCTATATATATATATATATATATATATATATATATATATATATATATATATATATACATATATATACACCAGTGGTGGTACCCCCTATATATATATATATATATATATATATATATATATATATATATATATATATATATATATATATATATATATATAATATATATATATATATATATATATATATTTAATTTTTTATTGTTTTCTGTAATATGTGTGTCTGCCTGTCTGACTGTCTCTCACTTATTAATCGTCTCATTAACATTTTTAGAACATTAAATACTAACATTGAAAACACGTTTTCAAACACGTCTTCGTCTCACGTTTAATAATCGTGTTTACAAAATCTAAAAAAAAAATCAAAATGTAATAGAAAACGTGATTAAAACAAAGAAATGTCGTTTTAGAAACGTTCTAGAAACTAGGACATGTTTACTGGGATACTGCTTTTCACCTATTGTGTTTTTCTCCTTTGGGTTATAAGGGTCGGGTTGTCTTACCTCCAGTAATTGTGTCTCCCATTTTAACCTCTTAAATTAGATTTTTAAATTAGGTTTTAACCTAAATAAATTAAGTTTAATTAGGTTAAGAGGTTAATTTTAACCTCTTAACCTCTTAAATTAAATTGTGTTATTAGGACCTGAAGGTGTTTTATTTTCAACTACAGTTTGTTGAGTAGTTGCTCTTGTGTGCATTCACTACATTCATTTTTGTTTATAATAGTTAAAATTCAATATTTATTCATAAATGTTGTTTGTTTATATATGAGTTATCGTGAGTGTTTTTTTTAAGGTTTAGTCTTATAGCATTTATTCATTTCTTGGGGCTCTGAGCAACGCTGCTGACCTTTCTAGCTTCGTGTCTATATAGCCGGCACTCTCACTGTAACGTTATCTTCCCTCTTATAGCAGTAGTATGAATCACACTCTCACCATCAATAACATGATTCTCACTCTCACCATCAGTGAGATCATTCTCACTCTCACCATCAGTGAGATCATTCTCACTCTCACCATCAGTGAGATTATTCTCACTCTCACCATCAGTGAGATCATTCTCACTCTCACCATCAGTAAGATCATTCTCACTCTCACCATCAGTGAGATTATTCTCACTCTCACCATCAGTGAGATCATTCTCACTCTCACCATCAGTGAGATCATTCTCACTCTCACCATCAGTGAGATCATTCTCACTCTCACCATCAGTGAGATCATTCTCACTCTCACCATCAGTGAGATCATTCTCACTCTCACCATCAGTGAGATCATTCTCACTCTCACCATCAGTGAGATCATTCTCACTCTCACCATCAGTGAGATCATTCTCACTCTCACCATCCTTACACGACTCTCCCCAAACGCTACTAAAGACCAAACGATGGGATGCAGGTGTGATAGGAGCGGTGGAGAGGATGGAGGCAGACTTCTCCCTCAACGTGGCCATCACCCAGGACCGGGAGGAGAAGGTTGACTGCACCATTGGCTACCACGTCGAGCCAATCACCTTCGCTACCTCCAAACCCCGGCTCCTCAACCAGGCTTTGGCGCTGCTCAGGCCCTTCACACACGAGGTGAGGCCCTTCACGCACGAGGTGAGGCCCTTCACGTACGAGGTGAGGCCCTTCACACACGAGGTGAGGCCCTTCACGTACGACGTTAGGCCCTTCACGTACGAGGTGAGGCCCTTCACGTACGAGGTGAGGCCCTTCACGTACGAGGTGAGGCCCTTCACGTACGACGTTAGGCCCTTCACGTACGAGGTGAGGCCCTTCACGTACGAGGTGAGGCCCTTCACGTACGAGGTGAGACCCTTCACGTACGAGGTGAGGCCCTTCACGTATGAGGTGAGGCCCTTCACGTACGAGGTGAGGCCCATGCGACAGGGCCAGCAATAGTGAAGTGAGGAGTGGTACAGCGGATTAGAATTCGTGATTGTCTTGGATTAACTCAGTTAATTAAGGATTGGGTGATGACATGGGGTTTAAAGAGATAAGGTAATTATGAGGTGAGAGCGTTAAGCCAGAATGACTATATAGCTCTTGTGAAGGGAAGGGACGGTACCCAACAGTTTGAACCATTGGGAATCGAACACTGGCCTGCAAGAAGCTAGGCCATCCCCCCTTACCATCCATCCAAGGGATCAGGTAGGATTTTAAAAAGGTTAGTAATAATAAATATATAAATTATTGAAATCCAAGGTTACGGGGAAAAAACCAGTTATGTCGCATGCATCATACATTGTGTTGTCCCTGTGACAGGTGTGGCTGGCCTTCGCAGCCACACTGGTGCTGGCTGGACCTTTCTACTACATGGTGTGTCGTCTGTCCTCCCGGGGCGACGCCACCCTCGCCCCTCCCTCGGTCATCAGGGCCTGCTTCTACGTCTTCGGCGCCTGCTTCAAGTTAGTCCTGCTTGGCTTGTCACTGGTGTAATATGAAAGGGGATAAATTATCGATAAAAAACCCTCACAGTGGAAGAGGAACTTAAGTTGTGACACTGCATTGCTGGTGCAATGCAAGGACACTGATAATAATAATAATAATAATAATAATAATAATAATAATAATAATAATAATAATATATTTAGGAACAGTACATACATAGTTGCAGCGTTACAGTACAAACATTCTGTTAGATTTAAAGATAGAGGTAGTACATACAATACCTAAAGCCACTAGTACGCATAGCGTGTCGGGCAACTGATGTGCTAAAAGCTATACAACTTGGGCTGCTCTTAGAGTCACTCACACCTTCGTCTTCCGTCCTGCAGCCAGAGTGTCAAGTGGGTGTCGGACCCGGGCGCTCGGATCTTCATGATGACGTACGTGCTGACCATGTTCGTGACGGTGACGGTATACGTGGCCATGCTCACCGCCACCCTCACGCTCCCAGCACTCTCCCCGACCCTCAACTTCCTCCAAGAGCTCATCGAATCCGACTTCACTTGGGGTATTCAGGTACGGAGTCGCACTTGAATACGTACTTGGGTACCTGAATACGGACGATGTCGTACTTGGGGTATTCATGTACGTGAGTCGTACCTGCGGACGACTAGCTTTAGAGTCGTCCGTAAGCAATATTTCTGATTCTAATGGTGCTGTGATTCTAGTAGTGCTGGTGATTCTAGTAGTGCTGGTGATTCTAGTAGTGCTGGTGATTCTAGTAGTGCTGGTGATTCTAGAGGTGCTGTTCAAGGATTAAGTCAATTAGGTCTAAGTCTTCTCATGAACATTGTCCTTGGCAGATCCCTACCCTAGAAACACAAACCGAAACTGTCTCTATTTTCCGCTTATTACAACTTATAATAAAGTTGGTACATCTTGGCTTAACGTGTTTATGACGTATTAGAACGTTGTTACAACTTGCTATATTGGTTGTTATAACTGGTTAGGTGGTGTTAAAACTTGTTCGAACGTTGTACCAACGTCGTAGTTTCGGTGTGTGTTTGGCGGGTAGTGCCCCAAATTCGTATGAGTCTGCCCTGACAGAGAGACTTGTAAATAGGTTCATTGCACTGTTCTGCATACACAAGGAGCTAACGATGGCAGAGAAGGAGGCCCTTGGCACTACCATATAGTAACGTCACTGGATACAAGTATAATGAATCTGGTGTGACTTTGCTTAATGTCTCAAAGGTATGATGAAACTCAAAGAATTTCGAGGCAAGGAAACTCAGAGCAGTGAGGATTGTTAATACAATTTTGTGTTAACACAAAACACAGGGATTGTTACGGACTCGTCACCGCCGTCTGCGTATGGCCTGGTAATTCCAGCGCCATCTACGAGTCTGTACTCAAACTCCCCGGGAATGGGACGCTACGTAGACAACGCCATCTATGGGTGGTGGCGTAACCGGGACAAATGGCTCAAGATTCCTGCCTTGGACAGCCAGATAGGTCATTGTGGGCGACCTCTGGTGAGGTGGCGAATCAAGACCAGCGCCACCTAGGTTGTGCTACAGAACAATGTCATTACCCGAGTGAGGAAGTGTTGCTTCCTGGTTTCTCCAGTACCCTATAACTGATGACGTGTCTGTATCCACAGAGGTGACGTGGGGCAGCAGTGGTACTGAGGAAGGCAGCCTAAATTCTTCAAACTTAGTCCCGCCTGACGATATATTCGACCTCGAGAAGCAAAAGAAGGTTACCACTAAAGACATCTTGCAACAATTTTTGCCAGGTTCTGAGCCGCCGCCGATCAGGACTAGTATAGTTTCTGCTAGTGGAAGAGCAGTGGAGGAATTCGGCATATCCTGGGACTGGCGAAGGGGAGAGACGCCCGGAGGTAGGTGCCTGTCTAGGAGCGTTACTAGTCCGTCGCTAGAGGCTCCTGCCAGGGGTGAGGTGCTCCTGTATTTGTCTGTGTAGTGGCTCCAATCAGCGCGTGGGTGAGGTTCTCTGCCAGCACTTGGCTGGAGAGTGGTTGTGGGCAGAGGCACCTCGTGAGACTGCCGGTAGGCTGGCCTACGGCAAAGTTAGACTTGTCAGTGTTTCTCAGTACTGTAGCCGGTAAGGTTGGGAGCGGTACTGTGTCGGGGAAACGCGAACATCGTGGAAGGCTACAATGTGTTAGCGTCGTGGAGTGCTCAGTGTCCTCTGAGAGAGCGACACCTGTTTATATATTAAAGTGTAGTAATATTTCATTTTTGGGTTTTAAGGTGATTGGAATATATTGATAAAGGAATTGGTGTTAATCCCCCCCCCCTCTTTCTATTTATTGCATTACCTAGTACACTCTCTTGAAAGCCACTACCGACTTGGGGTCGGATACTATCCTTTAGGTTTATACATCAAAAACTGTTGAGACCCATAGTGGCCGTAACAGGGATATAACCTACTAATATGGAGACTTGTCTTATGGAACCACTGGAATACCAGCAGTATAGGCGAATGGTCTGAAGTCTGTGAAGTCAGATTTTAACTTGACAGACACCTTGTAAGATATGTTGTCCTCTCAATATATAGGCAGGACGAAATGTCCTTTTAAAGGTGCCTGACAATACACAAACAAGGCTCTATTAGATATCACATCATTCCTACACACATACGACTGCTAATGTATCATTAACGAGACAGGACCTGGGAGCAGCCGACTACCAGCTGCTGAAGACCTCGGAGGTGCCCCTGTACCGGCAGGTGTACAGGGGACTGAAGCCCTGCCCGGCCCTCGACGCCTGCATCACCAAGGCCCGAGACACCAAGTACGCCTTCATCACCTGGCGTACCTACCTGGAGGACCGCATTGCTGTCAGGTATCACAGTCCCTTGTATCTCGGCTCTTAGTCACTCTGCATGTGAAAGGGTTTTTCTTCGCTGCGGTCTAGTTATGTTAATGTGGGGTTGGTTATGTGGCTTGGGTTATGTGTTAATGTGGTTAGTTATGCCACTGCATGCTTAGCTGTCGCTATACGTTAGGTCACTATACTGTTAGTCAAGTCACTGTGGGGGTTGTCACTATGGTTAGTTAATTTACTGAATGGTTACATGTGCATAATATCAAATTCAAATTTTTTTCACAAATGTGTACATTTATAGCACGGTTAATTTACGCAAGTTTATAGTGAATTATTTACCCAAGGGAAAGATATAACATGATAAAATGTTATCTGTAACTATATTGTGTACTCAAGATTTAGATTTGATAAGTTGCATTTATCGGTGATTTAAATAACCATTGCATTATGGTAAGCAACGTTGCAAATGTAACCTACTATGAACGGTAACGGTTCACAAATGTCTAAGTTTTCTATGCCTCGCGCTCGATAGGTTAGGTTGGTTAGGTTCCTTAGTTTCTGGCTGGGTTAGGAGGTCGGATTTTTTACAGATTGGCACGTAAAGAGACCGGGCTGTGTGCTCGCAATAAAGCAGTATTTTTAATCACAATGTGTAGTAATGTCACGGATTCATATATTTACTTGAATCTGTTTCAGATGAGTTTCATGTTATTTGGATTGGCTTAACGTACAATTAGTCGACTGCAGGTCAAGAAATGCTTGACCGGCTCCCACGAGTTGAAAGACAAAGATAGATCAACTAATGCCACAAAAGGGTCGGGCAAAATAAGGAAACCTTTTTTATAATCGACGAATAAAATATAAATACGGAGATTGCTAATTAACAATGCTTCAGTCCAGCAGAGCTAGAAGTCGACAATGTGTGTTTTTATCGAATATATGATCTTCCTGTTTGTGCACAATCTCCTAAATTGAATAAACTGGTTGGCTGTGTCAGGACTGAATGATGCTCTGGTGCAGCTTGTGCCTACATCACCTCCCCCAGGTTCACGAGTGCCACGGGGGAACGGCAGCTACACGTGGCCACAGGGAACATCTTCCCCGTGGAACTGGGCTGGGCTACGAACCCTGGGTGTCCGTATCGTCACCACTTCAATCACATAATCCGATCCCTTCTTGAGAGTGGCCTTGTTGCTAAGGTACGTCCTCGCATGGTTAACGAGGTGATTAAGGTAGTTTATCAGGAGAATGTGCTAAGCCAGACTGGCTATTTATTAGCACTTGGAAGGGGGATATCTAGAAAGGAAAGTAGCTGGGATAGGAGGAAAGGGTGAAGGAACTGGGCCCTTCCACTTGGAATATCTGCAAGAAAGAGACCTTTGTTATACCAACCAGTCGGTGGATGGTTAGATGAGGCGTAACCATTTGTCCTGGACGGTAAAGCGACGATCTCGCTTCTAGCAGGGTCGGCGTTCTATCCCTCGATCAAAGTGGATGGGCCACCAAGAGCTGAATATTCACTTTAGCTTAGAATTTTCTCCCGATAACTACCTTATTCCAGAGGGCGAGGTTAGTAGTGACTCGGTCATCCCTCAGACCTCATATACGCAGTCAAAAAATAACAGAAGCTGTTATAAAAGTCCATAATACCCGGAGCCTTTCTACAGTGGCTCCGCGACCTGATCAACGACCCGAAGCGACGGGAGGCGGACCCCTCAGTCCTCCAGCTTCAGGAGACGAACCAGGCCCTCGGTATGAACCACCTCCAGGTAAGGGAACTTCACCCTGTTGAACCCTTGCATATCTTCTCGATCACCTGCAATCATCATCAACTTGCACTGGTAGGTGCAGCGACGGTCTTAATTCTTGTAGGAATGGCGTTCAATTCCCCCCCCCCCCCCGGATGATACAAATAGTTGGCCACTCGTTCCATCCTCGTATAGAACGGGGGCCCAATACCATTCCTTCTCCCCGTCCTATCCCAAATCCTCATCCTGACCCCTTTCCAAGTGCTATATAGTCATGACTTTGCGCTTTCCCCTCATAATTCCCTCCCCTTCTCCTCTATTTCTCCCTTCCAAATGTTATTTAATAACTGGCTGACGGCTTTATTCTGATTAAATATGCCATTTTTGCAGATACATAAATATTACAACTTTGTGTTGAATGAAGGGTTGAGTGACAATCATGGGAATTCGGTAATTTTATAAACGCCATTATTTTCATTTAAATTCTTGATCTACTGGAGGCAAGTTTCATATACAAAGTGGTTTATATGTATGTCACTATAGGGTTAGTGATCATGCACAACTATTCTCTTCTATTCTTAGTGACCCATCACAAAAATATTGTCCGTTCAATAGCTATAATGGTTCAACATACGTGCCTTAAAGAAGCTGATGACGAACTAGTGTAGACAAATAAACACATTCTTATTAATGGTGAAAATTCAAGATGCTCTGTTAAATTTTATCTATAACAATTGGTTAAAAACTATTTGGCACAATGAATTCAGTTAAGGGGTTTGGTTAGGACTTGCACTGAGTTAGTCTGGTTGAGGTTCGGAGGTTTCGTGAATATTTTTTTTTAAACTGGCATTATTAATTATTGTTGGTAGAAATACTTGCTGGTAGACAGGGCCAATCATGCTGATAGACGGATAAGGTCTTGCTAGCAAGGCTGACAGGGCCAAACTTGTCAGGAATAGCAAACAAGATAAATACTGTAATGTTATCTTAATAAATTAAAACACGATAATCAGTTTACGAAATAGTATATTAGTCCTTAAAACAAAGTAAAATAACCGTTTCTTAGACTACACAGTTTGAAAATAGACTAATAAAATAATTTAGTTCTTATTTAAAAATCCATTTGCGATTCAACTATAAAAAGTCAAAATAGCTATGATAAAGAATCGGATTCAGAGTTAAATGGAACTCACACTTTTGGACACAGGTTCCAGAATAACAAATTGAATTCCACATCTTTGCTTAGAGTATTACGAGGAAAGGTAATCTATCAGAGTAGGTTGATAATCCTTTATCTCTGGGACACTTTGACATACAAAACTAGATGCAATAACCGATGAGTCAAAGGTTTCACATTACAAACGTATTTGCTTACCGTTAACCCCCATATATATCTTGTCACCAGAGGCATTATGTGTATGTATATGTTTATCGCAGGGCGTGTTCTTCCTGTTAGTGATGGGACACTCCCTCTCCTGCATCGCCTTCGTCAGCGAGGTGACTCTCTCCAACACCAGCTCTCCCTAGCAAAGTTCGCCTGCAAGTTTCTCCAACTGCTGCCCTTCGTCGATCCATCAGTATCTTTCTCCAACACTCGTCCTCCACCAGCTCTACAGGCAAGCTCTCAAGGGCTCTGAGGATGGAGTATTTAGATTCCCCAGAAGAAAGGCCGCATCAAAAGTCCTAACGTTGGAACAACTCCAGGAGCCCTCCGGTAGGAGCATTTTGTGGACGTTCAGATTGAGGTACAAGAAAGCCCTGAGGTTGGGACACCTTGATGGCCCTGAGGCTGGTTAATCTTGAACACGCGAAGACCCCAGAATTATTACAACTTGACAAATGTCAGAAGGCACCAAAATGCACTGGGCACACAAATGTATGCTTGGTAGACGAGTGATCGACCTTACCTTACCTTCTTCCCAGATGATTTAACTGGCGTGATCTGACCTTACATGACCTGACCTTGACTGTGACCATTCTCCTACAAGGTGCACGCTGTCATTAATTTCTTTCACATTATATTGTCTATAAATAAAAAGCTCACTACAGCAAAAAATATCTTTTAATTGACCTCGTACAGCTAATCGGCAGATAAAATGGATTAAGATACAAAAGATATTGAATAAGGCTCCGAATACCTTGATTTTCACAGAATAATTTAATACTACTAATAATAATAATAATACTTATTATGGAAGATCAGCAACTGAAAGGATTCGAACCCGCACATTTGGTATTCCCAAGCACGCGCGCCCTAGACCACTACACCACGACATGGTAAAGAACAATACAACCTGGGATTAGAGTGAATCCTCTAGAATGGGGTCCATGTGTGGCTTCCACCACTGAAGCCCAATCAAGGCTTCCACGCATGGCCTTCCCCCCCCCCCCCTTCATGTACTCTGGCTGTGGTTCAGCAGTTCCAACGCTTCTCTTGGGAAGTGAGTCACGTGTCTTTTACGTATTCCTAAGTATTTTACGAAGACGTTAAGTGTTTAACGTTTGACTACATGAAGGGGACGGACGTGTGTGGTGCGTGTGTGTGTGTGTTCGTTCTTGGAGCGACTCGTATAGCAGGTGTGGGAGTGTTGGCGCAGCCCCGCTCTCCTGATGCGCCATAACATTCATATTACAGTGTACTAACCTGGCGAGAAACGTCCGAACTCAAGCCACCCACCTAACCTGATCTACCGATGCATAGAAAACGTGGACGAGAGTGGCTACTTTTCATTGTACTTTGTAATTTATACGGTAGGGGACCATAACGTGCAGAATGAGACGCATTAGTTGAGAGAACGGGTTGAGGATGGGATGACCTGAGGATGGGGTTGATGATACACGTTAGCATCGGTGATTTTTGTTTAAAAATTTACAACACCAGCAGTAATGATTTGGCTGTAGACGGGTATCTGGGATGGTATTTGGACCTGTATTGACAGCTGTGAACATCACCTGTGGTGAGACGTGAGGAGGAAGGGGGGTATATGGGCGGGAGGGAGGGGCAAAGCTTGAACACCTGCACAACATAATGGAGCTCTGTGCACACTTGCACAGGATGACTTACCCCTGTGCATGTGTAGTAGTCACTTAATCTTGTGCAGATTCACACTAGCGCCCTCGAGACTCTTGCAGCCTCAGAGAACACATCCCACACACACCCGCCGCCTGCTGGGGGGGGGTTACTACACGCGCTACTTAGTCACTGCAACGGAACGGAAGGCGCCGGAAGGGCAACAGAAAGGAGAGTCAACGGCTTAAAGAATCGGGTCAACTTGTCTTTATTTTTTTCTGTTGCGACTCCCGCCGCTGTGTTTTTCTTGGGTATGTGTCTTTGTGTGTCCCTGCAACCACTGTGTGAGGCATCGTTTGTTTAGACGTCTGACGTCTCCCTTCCTTCAGGGAGGGAGACGTCAGGCTCTCAGTCAGGCGGGTATTCACTACAGCCTCTCCTTCAGGAAGAAACTTCAAAGGTCCCTTCCCTTAGACGGGAAATAAGAAAGAAAGAAAGAAGAAAATTCCTGCAGTTCACTATAACTTTTTCCTCTGCCCCTCTAACCTATCTCATGCTCGGCATACATATCCACTCAGTGGCACCCAGGGAAGCTTTAAGTCTCGGTTGGATACGAGATGTGTGTCTGGGATTCTTCCTTATTGTGGGTGTTCAGTAGCGCGGTTGGCAGGACTACGGGCTTCCACTTTCGTAGTCCCGGGCTAGAGGCTCCGATGGTTGAAATTAATTAAATCTTATGTTTAAGCAGCTGTTGTGCAAACACCTTTTGGATTTCGTAGCATCAAGTGATTTCCTGTTTCTGAAGATCACGACTCTTATGTGTTGCCCATTTGTGCTATTCCAGCAAACATAGAGCAACCAGAATGTCATTTCAATGTTGCATACGTTTACTGTTAAGTCATATTGTTGTGGGGCAGATGATAACGAAGCGGAATGACGGTGATATGATAATGGCATCACGGGTGTTTTTTGGTGCAGAAGTTGGACAAAGCACAGCTGTTGCTCTGCAGCTGCACGCCTTCAGCCTTCACACACACCCACAATTTGTCACACATTACCATCGCACGCAACAATTACCCCTCACACACGCCAGCATCTGCCTCACACGCCAACATCTCCCTCATACAGTACCACACTGTCTGGGAAATAATCACACATATTACGGTACCGCAATCATTTCACAGTCGTATGGACCCAAGTTCGATTCCCATGGCAAGTTAGAGACATTTGGGCACGGCTTTGTGACTTGATGCGTCTATTCCAATTCCAGGTTGTCTTTCTATTCTATTTTATTCCATTCTATTCTGTATATTCCACCCCTCTCCCCTCCACACACCCACACACAACCAGTTGATTGACAGTTGAGAGGCGGGATCAAAGAGCCAGAGCTCAATCCCTGCAAGCACAAATAGGCGCGCGCACGCGCGCACACACACACACACTCTCTCATTTCCAAGCCTAACATTAATATAGAATGAAGAGAAACAAGACCTTGAGCCTCACACACGTACAGATCATGTTCTGCCTGTACCGTAACGGCTATTAATATGAACTTTACTATGACAAAGCCTTTAACACGGCTTATCTCTTAAGCCTTATCTTATACTGGTATTTATATCCGTTGTGGCCGCCACGACTGGCCTCACACACTGGCCTAGAACTGATACTTGGCTATGGTAGAAGTGAGCAGCTTGAAGTAAATATCTTTGGTAAGGTTAGGTTAGGTTTCTTGAGGTTAGGTTAGGATGTTTTCTGAGATTAGGTTACATTTTGGTTAGGTTCCTAAGATTGGGTTAGGGTATGTTTCCTGAAGTTAGTTAAGGTTTTCTTGGGTTTCAGAGAATCAGTACAGACAGAAGCGTTCTGAAAAAAAGGAACATATATGCTGATAAAAAAATCAACATTCCAGGTGCGGCATTACAGCACAGGTGGTCATCTGGGTCCTCACGTCATCGGGCAATTCATCACACTTACCACAGGTATATAGTGACGATATCCAGATGATGAGTCACAATAACGTCGTTAAAGATGTAATGATTGAATCACACACATCAGAAGATGGAGAAACGACGACGTTTCGGTCCGTCCTGGACCGCTAATCCCAATGGACTTGATAATGGTCCTGGACGGACCGAAACGTCGTCGTCTCTTCATCTTCTGGTGTGTGGGGGTTTGGTCATCAGTGACGATATCAGGTCACCGCCCACCGTCATGTATCAAAGGTTGACACTATATCTTCATTGTTCACCATTGTGAGACGTAAGCAAATGTTCACTAATCTCTTGAACATCAACAAGGGGTGAAATTATTGTCTCAAAACACTTAAATACTCAAAAAGCTTAAATTATGTCCAATCAGTAAGTGCGATAACTCTACACTTTCTTGTTTGGGAAAGCGATGGCAGATGATAGGTATCAGCGACTATATATGGGCCGCCTTTTCTGATTTGTATTTGTAGTACGTGGGTGAAGCATTTACAGCGTTGTGGTTCGAACAAAATTCGTCAGTGAAGCACTTGTTCCGGAAGTGTTCGATCGTCATTAGTTGTGAATCGTGTGTAAACCGTTTTTCATTCATAAACAGGGGGTTTGGCGGGTCAACCCATCCTCGACTCAAGTCCATTACATCCAGCGGTCGACCCCACAGACGCATTCATAAATTTTAACATGCTGTTCATTCAAAACGGGAATTTTCTCAAGTATAAATTAATATTATAATATATTGGCATATTGTATATATATAGGCATAGGATAGGTTAGGTTAGGTGTTTAGGTTCTGTTGGCGATTATTTGTATTTGTAGTACGTGGGTGAAGCATTTATAGCGTTGTGATTCGAACAAAATTCGTCAGTGAAGCACTTGTTTCGGAAGTGTTCGAACGTCAGCAGTTGAGTCGTGTAAACCGCTTTTCATTCATAAACAGGGGGTTTGGCGGGTGCATGGAATCACTTTTGGGTCTTTGTTTGGAGGACGGGCTGCAGCTATGATTCAATGTTTCAAGCCCCGCCCACTGCTACCGGACGTCACAGGTCCGGTAGCAGCCCGTCCTCCAAACAAAAATTGTTTCCAAATGGTTTATTTGAATTATTATTATTATATTAGGAACAAAGTATTGACTTAATTATGTTAGTTTAGGTTAGGTTAAGATAGGTTAGGTTAGGTTAGGTTAGGTTAGGTAGGGTTGTTAGGTTTCGTCATATATCTACGTTACTTTTAACTTCAATTACAAAAATTGAACTCATACACAATGAAATGCACAGCGTTATCATTTCATAAGAAAAAATAGAGAAAATACATAATTTCAGGAAAACTTGGCTTATTAAAACTGAAACTTGGCTTCAGCTATACTGAATTCAGTACTACTCTGCTGTTGAAAATGTTGACAGGATCAACGAAACGTCATGCCACAATGAAACTGAAATGAACTTTGGCGAGTTGATATTTCGAAGTACCTTCTCAAGTGAAGAATAGCATAAGAAATAGAGAAGATTCGTGCTGGAATCTCGCCCTTTTACATACATACAATTTTGTACTGAAGCTTGAGTTTTTTTCGGCTTTGGTTTTAAAGTAATTGATGAAGGTGGCTTCTACAACTTCTGCTTGGAATGCATTCCACTTGCTGACCATCCGTCCTGGGTACCACTTGCTGACCATCCGTCCTGGGTACCACTTGCTGACCATCCGTCCTGGGTGCCACTTGCTGACCATCCGTCCTGGGTACCACTTGCTGACCATCCGTCCTGGGTGCCACTTGCTGACCATCCGTCCTGGGTACCACTTGCTGACCATCCGTCCTGGGTGCCACTTGCTGACCATCCGTCCTGGGTACCACTTGCTGACCATCCGTCCTGGGTACCACTTGCTGACCATCCGTCCTGGGTACCACTTGCTGACCATCCGTCCTGGGTACCACTTGCTGACCATCCGTCCTGGGTACCACTTGCTGACCATCCGTCCTGGGTACCACTTGCTGACCATCCGTCCTGGGTACCACTGTTTCTTTACATTTTCGACTCAATTACGTTTCCAGCTTCCACCGATTTCCTCTTGTCCTATTTCCACGCACTTTAAAGATAAAAATTACCTTATTCATCTTGTCTAGTAACCCCCTCAGTATCTTGAATGTAGAGATCATGTCTCTTATTTTTGCTCCTATTAAACTGTCCTCTTAGCTTTACAGAAAGTGTGTGTGTGGTGACGTAGGGTTAAGGTGCTAGTATTTGTTAAAGACATTAGCAATTTGGTGAGAGTCGATAGGGGAATGGGTGAGCGGACGTCACGTATCTGGGATGAAACCAGTGGCAAACCTGACAGCTGTGAATCGCTGACAGCTGTGATAGGTGTCAATGGGGATCAGGAATGGCGAGGAATGAACACGCGATGAACACTTGCTCCGTTTAACACACCTGTGTGTGAACACACTCGTTCGTTCAACACTTCACAGTAAGCAGTCAGTCGTAAGTCTTCCCTCGGGAGTCTCAGCGCATCGTAAGTCTTCCCTCGGGAGTCTCAGCGCATCGTAAGTCTTCCCTCGGGGTCTCAGCGCATCGTAAGTCTTCCCTCGGGGTCTCAGCGCGTCGTATCAACCCTGAGGACGTGGGCCGCCTCGCCGAGAGGACGGACAAAGCGCAGCTTGCCGTGGTCCTCACAGCTCTTGTGTAGTGTGCGCAAGACCTCGGTGTAAACACTGACGAAGGTGTTCCAGGAGGACCAGCAACTGGAAGATTGGGCTGCATCTGCTGGAACAGTCGCACCCCCGACATGTGGGTGTTCCCAGGTGTGTTCCTGCAGGACTGAGCTATAGCTCTTGGACCCCGCTTTCCTAGCCGTTGGCTGTCTAATGCCATGACTCCTGGCCTATTTCCCTATCATACCTGCTTTTAAAGTTATGGATGGAGTTAGCCTCTACAACCTGCTCCTTTAGGTCATTCCATTTACTCACTACCTTTACGCTAAAAGAAAACTTTCTAATATCTCTATGATATATCTGAGTCTCAAGCTTCCATTCGTGACCCCTTGTTTTGTTGAGATTCATTGTAAACATTTCCCGTTTCCACACTGTCAATCCCTTTAAGTATTTTATATGTTTGTATCATGTCCCCCCTCTCCCTCCTCTTTTCTAACGTGGTCAGGTTGTGTGTGTGTGTGTGTGTGTGTGTGTGTGTGTGTGTGTTTACTCACCTATTTGTACTAACCTATTTGTGCGTGTGAGGGTTGAGTTCTGGCTCTTTGGTCCCGCCTCTCAACTGTCAATCAACTGATGTACAGGTTCCTGAGCCTACTGGGATCTATCATATCTACACTTGAAACTGTGTATGGACTCAGCCTCCACCACATCACTTCATTATACATTCCATTTGTCTACTACTCTGACACTGAAAAAGTTCTTTCGAAAATGTCTATGGTTCATTTGGGCACTCAATTTCCTCCTGAGTCCCCTAGTGCGTGTGCCCCTTGTGTTAAATAGTATGTCTTTATCTACCCTATTAATTCCTACCCACACAATTCTGTGTGTTGACCAGGCCACACACTAGAAGGTGAAGGGACGACGACGTTTCGGTCCGTCCTGGACCATTCTCGAGTAGATTGTGAGAATCGACTTGAGAATGGTCCAGGACGGACCGAAACGTCGTCGTCCCTTCACCTACTAGTGTGTGGTCAGGTCAACTTACTTTAGCCACGTTATTGTGACTCAGCGCCTGCAATTCTGTGTGTGTGTGTGTGTGTACGAGCATAAGCTAATGCGTGCGAGTCTGTGAGTATACTTGCTTGGACGTCACCTGAGTATACAACATATACATCCGATCTTTCCATTAAGCCCAGCGCACCGTGGGCGTGCTAGTGTACGTGTGGGCGTGGGCGAGCCTGGGCGGCCCTTGGGTCTCCGTGGCGGCAAACACCAACAAAATCAACCCGGACGTCTACCTGTTGCCTGAGTACCTCCGTCGGGTCTTCCACCTGGACCAGCTGGTGGGGGGAGCCCTGAGCCTCCTCCCTCACCCTTCACCTGAAGCTAGCAGGTTGGTTCCCCTTCACCTGAAGCTAGTACGTTGGTTCCCCTTCACCTGAAGCTAGCAGGTTGGTTCCCCTTCAACCTCTGTAAGGTTCTGTCCACAACCTACTGAACTCACTACGAGTCACTATATAAGGTCTTAATTATGCTGGGATAGTTACGGGATCACCATAGCCCGTGCTACATGGAAATTTTGGTCTAGTTGCTCATCACAATGTGATGTCTGAAGTAGCTTGTAATATTAAATGGAATGTAATTTTTGCCAATGATAATAACTATTGTATAAAATTTGTGTGGCTCCCATTCCATGTCGGAGTTGGAAAACATGATTTTGTAGATCGATTGGCCAATGAGGCTTGCAGGAAAGAAAACATTGATTATGACTTTGGACTATCTAATGCAATTATTAAAAACATGCAAATTAAAGAAATTAATTCAGATTTAGAAGAACTAAGAAATGCCTAAAGTCCTGAAAGCTGCAGTATTAAGTTATGACAAGTTTTGTAATAATAGGTATTTGTATGGTCAGCACAGTAACCGGACCAGGCAATGTGATGTAGTCATTGCTGTAATTCGCCTTGGCTATAGACACATCTAGCAGGTTAGTGAGGCTGAGCCACTACCAGAATATTCAGATTGTAAACTCTGTGATAAACTTTTAATGCATTCACTAGAACACTATATTGATGAATGTGAAACCGTAGAGGACTTTAGACCTCCTGGCCTCTTGTACCACCAATTGTGTAACTATTTAATTGACTCAGGTGTTCTGGACGACATCCTAACAATTTATCCAAAGTTTGCTTGTCGATTTTAAAGAATGAAGAACAATTTTTATTTATATTACTTCTAAGCTGTATCACTTATGAACCCATCCCTGCCCTTGTGTGGCAGTGCACAATAGAAAGTTGCTTTCACATATTCATACATTAAAACATTGATTGTAACCATGATATATATGTGCTTCAGCCTACAGTTTAGACCTATTGTCTTATGTATGACCCTCTGTCCTGCGTGACAGTGAATACCAGCATTATCCTCACTTTAATAAGACTTAATTGAAATCCTCGGATTAGGCAAAATTGTAATTAATTTTGCCAATAAAGATGTTAAAATAATATAAGTAGCTGAATCTAAAATAATAACAGGTGGGATAGGCCTACTACAGTCAAAATAGGAGCATATTAGCACTGGCCCAGGCCTACTGTAGTCGCCTGAAGATCACAGTAACACTGGGATAGGCCTACTGCAATCATTGTAACAGTAACTCAGCCATAGGTCTACCGTGGCCATTTAAAAATCATTAGAACATGAGTGGAAGCCCACTGAATTAAACTAGATTAACCTGAACATTATATGAAATTATATCAATTTTACAACAAAGCAGCTACAGAAAACTGTCTGAATCCAACTTTTTTTTAATCCACGGCCTATGTGACAGTTGCAGTAGGCCTATTGTGGCCGCTATAAGAATATAATAATGCTACAGGAGGCTTACTACTGTCACTGTATCATCATATAAACACGGCAGTCATTGTATCTTCATAAAAAAACTGCAGTCATTTTATCATCATATCAATGTAGGGTCATAAGTATGCATGGTAGCAAGTGCATACTTGAACTTGTTCTGTCTCATCTGTGAGTGTGCACGTCTCGTTATAACAGGTACTTGGAGTGGTACAGGTGGAGAGTGGTGGACGCTGGTGGCGGCGACCTGGTGGGGGAGGCCATCACTGGGAACCACCTACACGTGTACTCGCTACTCAAGCGCCTGGTCCTCCTGTGGCCCGCGGTCCGCGAGGAACTCTACCATCACCAAGGTCCTGATGGGCACTTTGGTTCACTGTATTATTTCACCGGTTTTTTTTTATGATCCCCCCCCCCCCCTACCTTATTTATTGATTTATTTGTATTTATTCATTTAGTTATATATATATAATATTATATAATATTATATAATATAATATGAGTTCTTACGTTCTTGTAAGAATGTAACTTGCATTCATTTTTCTTACATTTTTTCACATTATAGGAATATTTAACCTCTTAAACCTGTCAGGGGTTTTCATAGATTTCAGTTGCTTGCAAGTTTTATAATTATATAGATCAAATATTATCGCCTGCTAGAGGAGAAAAACACATAGAAGTCGAGTATATAGAAAAAAACTAGCCTCGGTATCTCCTGCTTTGCTCGGGTGACGGAGGTCATATCTTCACTACACACTATCGTCTTCACTCTAACTATCTTCACTGCACACTATCTTCGTCATTGAAGAACAGTCGTCAAGATAGTTTGCTTAACCGTTTTCGTTGCTTTGTCGCTTCCGCCTCTCAGAAAACGTGACGTGTGAGGACCAACTCAAGTACTGTTCAGAGTGGCATGAGGAGGGACGCTGCTTCCAGGAACCCGAGATGATGATGGCAAGATGTCAGCGTTCTTGTGGAGGCTGCGAGCTTACTGGTAAAACCACATTTGTTCTCAGTGACTGTTGACTTCTGAAAACCAATTTGATCCTATATATTACAAAATACAATTGATAGTTACATAACTTGAAGCGTATCCTGTTGTTATGGATCAGATACTTCATCATTATTCTGCTGTAAATTTTTATGCAATGGGAAGATAAAACAGATAATTCCCTGGTTATCTTGTCCTCTCCAAAACTTAAGTGAAATTCTGTAATCTTAACAACTGATAACAATAAGTTTTAAGTCTGCTGACACAAACAATGCTCTTTTCTGTGTGTGATAGGGACTCCAGTCATATAATAGATTGATTGATCTGCTTTCAAAATAATCTTCCCTGCCTCTACTCTTCTCAGAGGCCGTCTTGTTGAACTGACTCTGGTACACAAACATGCTCAACACGGCCCTCAAGTGCTGGCCTTGTTGCTCGTGACTTACCTTTCTCAGGGCGTAGCTATGAACTTATCTTCTCTCCTCACATCCTCTTATCTCACTTCTCTCCTCACATTCCCTCACTTTAACTCGTGTCTTGTCTTACAATGGCTTCAGCCTTGTATTTTTCAGTTTCGACTCGATATGGGGTCCAGGGCCGACTTTTATACATAGCAGACACGTGAATAATATTTAGATCTAATTGTCTGTTACTGTGAGAATTACTTTGTAACTATTGCATATGCAGACGAGGCTGATATTGTCGCCTGAACGATTCCCTGTCCACTCTATAAGCACACTATAATTCACGTTAATGAGTTGAACGGCTGTAATGTGAAACAAATTAAGAACAATTGTGCACTAAAATAATATTAAATTCTAAGTATTTTAAATTTTTGGGGGCAAATTCATGCATTATGGATCAATATGAGAGTTGTTCAGGTTGCTATTGGTGAAATCCCGCAGATGAACAACGTGAATAGTTTGATGAATTCTTAACATTGTAACTTTCCTTTTGTGTGTTAGATCGCGTTGAGGCGGTACGGGGAGCTGAACGGAGCTTACCACTGCCGCCGGTGGAGGCCCTCGACCGCGCGGCCACAATGCTTGCCGTCCTCCAGCGGGTCTACAACCTCAGTATGAGCAGTCTCGTGAATGGACGCATCTTTACCGTCGTCACCAGTGTTCGTAAGTGTTCAGGCAAGCTGTCTGAAATGCAGGCGATGAGTCACAATAACGTGGCTGAAGAATGTTGACCAGACCACACACTAGAAGGTGAAGGGACGACGACGTTTCGGTCCGTCCTGGACCATTCTCAAGTCGATTGTGACTTGAGAATGGTCCAGGACGGACCGAAACGTTGTCGTCCCTTCACCTTCAAGTGTGTGGTCTGGTCAACATGTCTGAAATGTCTGTCTCTTCGTGGTGACTGGACGGGTAGGTGAAGTAATTATCAGCAGAAAGCACCGAGCCATTACGACTCTATAGCACTTAGAAGGGATATGAGGATGAGCATTTGGGATATAGCTGGGGGGAAAGGAATGGTACTCAAGCACATAGACGGTTGGGGATTGAACGCCGACTTGCAGGAAGCGAGGCCGCCGCTCTTACCATCCAGACCAAGTAGTTCGGGGAGCACAGTATCACCAGATGGTAACACAGATCTCCATACACTTGCAGGACTCAACCTATGGGACTGCTTCAGGGTTGCTCTGTCATGTGAGAGCGAAGGCATGTACTCCAACGCCTGGGTGTGGTACCAGCAATCCCTGGCCATGACCTCTGACCCCGAGCTCTCCAGCTTCATCAATGGCTTAGTGCTGTCTTTCGCCAAACGTGTAAGTATGTTGACAGTATGGTTCAAGTTCAAGTATGTTTATTGAGACAAGAAAATACATCTCAAAGGGATAGCTTAGGCTATTTCTACCACCCATTACAGTAAGGTAAGGTACAGAAGAGACCACTAAGCCATTACGACTATATAGTACTTGAAAGGGATCAGGATAAGGATTTGGGATGGGACGGGGGGAAGGAATGGTGCCCAACCACTTGGACGGTCTGAGATTGAACGTCGACCTGTAAAATGCAAGACCGTCTCTCTTCCGTCCAGCCCAAGTGGTTGGACATCAGTAGAAATCTCAGGATGAGAGGTCAGATAAAGTAATAATGAGTAGAAAGCACTACTATGTAGATCTTGGGATATGAGGACAAGGATTTGATATAGGACTCGGGGAAAGAACGGTGCTCAACCACTTGAACCGTCGGGGATCGAACGCCGACCTGCAAGAAGGAAGACCAATGAGTCCAAGTGCTCGATCAAGACGAGACTAAAATATCCGTAGATAATGTATCGCAGTTAAGGACTATCAAATCTAAGAGTGATAAAAATGTCTAGTGTTTACAATACTGGGGTGAGATCTGTGGGGTGAACAAGAACATTGTTCAATGTGTTCAGACTGGTATTCCTGGTTTATTAAGTTAAAAAGACTGGCTGTGGTGTTGAATTCTTCATCATTGTGTTGGATGGTGTTGAAGTGTTTAATGGCCGTAGACTCTATACACTATCTCCTCTTGGTGCTCTCTTCTTTGATGATGTGTCCAGATTCATCAAAGTTCATCCACCACAATCAACACCATCATTAGAAGCAGAACTAACAAAAACATCGCCATCACTTCAATGTTCACTATTCCTCATCAAAGTTATAACGACGTATACATAGACGAAACATTAAACAAAAGAGAATGAAAACCAGAATGAATGCGACCCCGGAATGGAACAGTCAGATGGGAATGTGTTCTCTCGAGGAAAGACTTTGTGTTCGAGTCTGTCACAACGATGAAATTACAGGATATGATTGTGTGTGTGTGTGTGTGTGTGTGTGTGTGTGTGTGTGTTTACTAGTTGTGTTTACTAGTTGTGTTTTTGCGGGGGTTGAGCTTTGCTCTTTCGGCCCGCCTCTCAACTGTCAATCAACTGTTTTACTAACTACTTTTTTTTTTTTTTCCCACACCACACACACACACCCCAGGAAGTAGCCCGTGACAGCTGACTAACTCCCAGATACCTATTTACTGCTTGTCGGAAAATCCGACACCATTTAATAATAATATCATACAGACAGATAAGAGCTGTGTTGTATAAAAAAGTTACCCATAGAAAACGTAACTTGTAGTGGAATTACCGTCTAAAGAAAACGGGATATCATCACCACATACTATTATAATTCACCAGCTATTCTGTTGGGAATTATTCTTAAATACATTAGTCTTTGGACTTTACCATCATAAAAACATCTTATATAAATTAACTTAATTATCAATATTAAAGTAGAGTAAATGTGACCCTTCTATCACGTTCTGAAATCTGGACAATGTAAGCCAGGCGTCAGAGTGAGGAGGAGGGCAGCCATTGTTGTGTCACCTCCGAGACGTGTGGAGCAAATGGCTCCTATCATATCTGGACAATGTCGGCCAGGCGTCAATAGTATGGAGTGTTAGATGCAGCCATTGTTGAGACCAGAGGCTCACACGGGAGCAAATTCGGCTCCTGTTAAATTTACTTGGACGTAGTGTTATGGAAACCAAAGGTACCATCTCCAACACGATGTCTACAATTCAAGTTAAGTCTATCCGAAACCCGTTTATCATTCATTTATGGCCATTAATGTCAGGATATAGGGTGACCCGGTTAGATTACATGGAAGCCTCAAACTAAAGGTAATTAAGCCAGGTCTTCATGTTCCATGTACTGTTTTCTCTGATATACTTGTCATATATAGGTTTCTGGCTTCTCAGCTAGCGCACTTTTGACAGGTCAAGACGAGGAAGCAAGATTTGTGCACCAGTTACTGGGTGATATGGAAGCTACCTCAAAGAGGATAATTTGGTGTCTACACCCTAGTTATACCTGGTGGACTAACCTGCTGTACTATAAGATAAGGAACCTCTTCAATGTATGTAGTTAATTTTGTAGTTTGATTGGCTGCATATATATATAAACTATTAAACCCCCTAATGTGTAGAGGATCGATTTGTGAGATTGAGATTATTGCAGAAATACAGTCCACTCATTATTATACAAATTGCTATCGAAGTATATAAATTAACGTAAATATAAATTCATATAAATTAAATAAATATAAATCTCACAGGTCGGTTCCCACATTATTTGGACCTTCGGAACCGGAATATTCGGTCCTATGAACCCACATTTGGTCATCTTAGTACCGGATGAACCAGTTAACCAGTGGATTCATTAAATATACTAGTGCAGTGTTATTTAAACAAAGCCAGCAGTCAAGACGGCAGCGTAGCCTCGAGGGAGCTCAGGAGCCTCCCTCAGCCCAGTTCAGCTTCGTCAGCGGTTTCATGCACACCCACAGATATTTGGTGGCGTGTTATTTCGTGAAATGACAGCGCTAATATAGAATCCAGCCAAATTAGTGACTGTGTCTTCGCGAGATTGTTCACGGATTTCGTGGTGTTACATTTCGCGAGAGATTATCTACGAATTTTGTGGAGTTTATTTCGCGAGGTCACTAATAATATTTAATACTTCTAGATAATATTAGAAGTTTCATAGAGGCTAATTAAGAGGCTATTGTCAATAATTGTGTATATTATTTCTCCAAAATAGAGAATCATTTAATATATACTGCACTAGTGATCACAGTATAATATTTACTAATTGCCAACCCACAACAGGGTAGGATATGACTAGTTGAACTATTATTGCTCATCCTAGTCCCATTATTACCATAGTCAGTTGAACTATATTGATCAACCTAGCACCATTAATGAATGGTCCAGACCCTATTTTGGGTGTAATTTTTATCAACTCGAGTTGAGTTGTATATATATAATTTACTTATGATCATTACACCTTTGAGTGATTAATTAGTGTCTCTACCATCCTAGGGTGATATAGAAGAGCTAACCTAAAGGTACTTCCAGTGACACTGGTTTATCACTCAAATCATTAGTGTGGATGATTGTATATATATAATGTGTATTAATTTTAAGTGCTAACCTCTAGTAGAGGTAGGATTATTGCCTAGTGAGTGCAGAATTTACCCTAGGCTACCATTAGTGTTTGTTCAGTATTATGAGCAGCCCAAGTACAAGTCCCACAAGGCTTCACCAACGAGCCAGTATGGATAATGCAGGGAGAATGAAAAGAACCCTTGCAGGTCTTAAAGGCCACTTAACAAGACAGATCAAGAAATGTGAAGATTTGTCACAACAATCAACAGTTGATTATGCTGACCTGGAAAGCTATTATCAAGCAGCTGCAGGTAAATTTGAGCAAATCAAATGCCAAATGGCTGTCCTTGTGAGGACAGACTACTACCATCAATTCATCGGTAGCCCTACTAAATATCAGGGTATAACCATGTTAAACTCTGCAGGAGGTAAATTACTCTCAGGCCCAGTATCAAGCCTGAGGAGACCTATGCCTGCAGATAAACAATACCAGTAGAAACCTAAATTTGTCAGCTGATTATATTTCTCCAGTAGCATTATACTAAGGAGATTACAGCTGACTATAGTAACAGAGGTTGATGTTAGTATCATCATTTGAAGCTGAAGATGAGTTCATGAGGCTTCAGTGGCCAATCAGTGAACAGTAGCCTAAAACAGCTACAAGTCACTGCGACCAATGTCACTGAACCCACTGCAGTCTCAGAACCATACTTTACTTTAATGATGAGCTATTCAATCTTCTGAATCAATTAACTAAATTAAACCCCAATAAATCTGATGACTGATTTGATACATTTATTATTTAATCAAGATGTATTCCATGGGCCTCAGTGTTTATATATCAGTGACCAGTTACCTGAAGAAACTTCAAGTTATATCTATGTCACTGATCTCACTGCAGTCCCTGAATCATACTTGACTGTAGTACTTGATCACATTCAGTCTTCTGGGTTAAATAATATGTAATAAGGCTTGAATATTAGCCTTTCAAGAGTTGACAGGGAAATGAAATCGCATTAGACTTCTAACCCCTACAACTCTAGTACGGGACATCCGTCCTGTACGAACAGACACACAAATGTGTGATTACTAACTACTAACATCAAATTAATGTAATAATTCGAAGGAGGAGTATCGGTGTTCGTCTGTTCTAATTAGGACTTCGACCCGTGAGCAGCCCCTGGGGAATTATGTCGGAAAATCCGACACCATTTAATAATAATATCATACAGACAGATAAGAGCTGTGTTGTATAAACAAGTTACCCATAGAAAACGTAACTTGTAGTGGAATTACCGTCTAAAGAAAACGGGATATCATCACCACATACTATTATAATTCACCAGCTATTCTGTTGGGAATTATTCTTAAATACATTAGTCTTTGGACTTTACCATCATAAAAACATCTTATATAAATTAACTTAATTATCAATATTAAAGTAGAGTAAATGTGACCCTTCTATCACGTTCTGAAATCTGGACAATGTAAGCCAGGCGTCAGAGTGAGGAGGAGGGCAGCCATTGTTGTGTCACCTCCGAGACGTGTGGAGCAAATGGCTCCTATCATATCTGGACAATGTCGGCCAGGCGTCAATAGTATGGAGTGTTAGATGCAGCCATTGTTGAGACCAGAGGCTCACACGGGAGCAAATTCGGCTCCTGTTAAATTTACTTGGACGTAGTGTTATGGAAACCAAAGGTACCATCTCCAACACGATGTCTACAATTCAAGTTAAGTCTATCCGAAACCCGTTTATCATTCATTTATGGCCATTAATGTCAGGATATAGGGTGACCCGGTTAGATTACATGGAAGCCTCAAACTAAAGGTAATTAAGCCAGGTCTTCATGTTCCATGTACTGTTTTCTCTGATATACTTGTCATATATAGGTTTCTGGCTTCTCAGCTAGCGCACTTTTGACAGGTCAAGACGAGGAAGGAAGATTTGTGCACCAGTTACTGGGTGATATGGAAGCTACCTCAAAGAGGATAATTTGGTGTCTACACCCTAGTTATACCTGGTGGACTAACCTGCTGTACTATAAGATAAGGAACCTCTTCAATGTATGTAGTTAATTTTGTAGTTTGATTGGCTGCATATATATATAAACTATTAAACCCCCTAATGTGTAGAGGATCGATTTGTGAGATTGAGATTATTGCAGAAATACAGTCCACTCATTATTATACAAATTGCTATCGAAGTATATAAATTAACGTAAATATAAATTCATATAAATTAAATAAATATAAATCTCACAGGTCGGTTCCCACACTGCTAGGTAACAGGGGCACTTAGGGTGAAAGAAACTTTGCCCATTTGTTTCTGCCTCGTGCGGGAATCGAACCCGCGCCACAGAATTACGAGTCCTGCGCGCTATCCACCAGGCTACGAGGCCCCCTTGTGTGTGTGTGTGTGTGTGTGTGTGTGTGTCGCGTCCTGTAGCTGCCAATCTTCATCTCCACAGCCTTTTCTGGATAGCTAAAACTTGGCTGATCATAGGATGTGTAGATTAGGTTAGTTGGGGGTCAGCTGAGGTCAGATTAGCTGAGGGTCAGGTTAGGTAAGATTAGGTGACTGGTACACACAGATTCTCTTACGTTCAAATTAGTATTTTTATCCTGGATGGTGGGTGATATTTTCTGGCTGTTTATGCCTCCAAAGTGTAGAAAATGGCTATGGTTCTCCTCACCAGTCGAGACTGAGCGACGCCTGTCCCTTACCAGTCGAGACTGAGCGACGCCTGTCCCTTACCAGTCGAGACTGAGCGGCGCCTGTCTCTCACCAGTCGAGATTGAGCGACGCCTGTCTCTCACCAGTCGAGACTGAGCGGCGCCTGTCTCTCACCAGTCGAGACTGAGCGACGCCTGTCTCTCACCAGTCGAGACTGAGCGACGCCTGTCTCTCACCAGTCGAGACTGAGCGACGCCTGTCCCTTACCAGTCGAGACTGAGCGGCGCCTGTCTCTCACCAGTCGAGATTGAGCGACGCCTGTCTCTCACCAGTCGAGACTGAGCGGCGCCTGTCTCTCACCAGTCGAGACTGAGCGACGCCTGTCTCTCACCAGTCGAGACTGAGCGGCGCCTGTCTCTCACCAGTCGAGACTGAGCGGCGCCTGTCTCTCACCAGTCGAGACTGAGCGGCGCCTGTCTCTCACCAGTCGAGACTGAGCGGCGCCTGTCTCTCACCAGTCGAGACTGAGCGGCGCCTGTCTCTCACCAGTCGAGACTGAGCGGCGCCTGTCTCTCACTAGTCGAGACTGAGCGACGCCTGTCTCTCACCAGTCGAGACTGAGCGGCGCCTGTCTCTCACTAGTCGAGACTGAGCGACGCCTGTCTCTCACCAGTCGAGACTGAGCGACGCCTGTCTCTCACCAGTCGAGACTGAGCGGCGCCTGTCTCTCACCAGTCGAGACTGAGCGGCGCCTGTCTCTCACCAGTCACGCTGCATCTCTCTCACACAGCACGATGAGACCTGGAGACCAGATGAGAACCACCTCAACGACAGGATGTCTTCAGGCAACAAGCTGGAGGTGGTGAGATCCACAACACTAAGTGCATGTCAATACGGAATACAAAAGGTATGTTCCACAGTGAGGCTTTACTGACACTCCTGTTCTTCAGTGGCCAATGGTCTCGTATACACCTTTCGGCCTACACTTGTGTGTGTTATTTTGCTGGGATAATTGAACCGCCTCTTCTTGGCACTGTAGGCAGGAATACAGCTGAAGGTTGCATTACTACAATGTACTGCATGTACAGCTGCATGCACAGGGATTGGATAGGAAAGTAGAGGTATGCTGATTATTATATTATTACGGTAATTATCACTACTACTGTTATAAATATGTTTGCCGTTATTAAAGGTGCTCCTGCTATTTATTTTGCTAGCGTTACTAATGTTTTTTTCGTGATGTGTCTACTAGTTCCGCTGCTGATATTACGTCTGCTGCTTCGTTCTAATACTGCTGCTGCTGCTGCTCAGGGGCCAGATTTACGAAGCAGTTACGCAAGCACTTACGAACCTGTACATCTTTTCTCAATCTTTGGCGGCTTTGTTTACAATTATTAAACAGTTCATGAGCTCCGAAGCACCAGGAGGCTGTTTATAACAATAACAACAGTTGAGTGGCAAGTTTTCACGCTTGTAAACTGTTTAATAAATGTAACCAAAGCCGTCGAAGATTGAGGAAAGATGTACACGTTCGTAAGTGCTTGAGGAACTAATTCGTGAATACGGGTCCTGTATATTTGCTAGGCTAAAACATATATATTTTTTTATCTAAAGATATCCGCGAAGCTAATAACACGTGACAAAGACACCGAGAGCGTCGGGAGGGGATTGATGGCTTACCAAGACATCAATGGCTGTCTGCTGGTTATTTCCAGCTATTGATGTTCCCCGATTTTTTTAATTTTCTTCAGGAGGAGGTTCGGCTGAGGCTATAAGTTCTCTGCTCGAGTTGATTTCTATCTATTAATACTATGTTGCTTTCTGCTACTACCAACGCTATTATTCCTATTGATGTCTCTTTAATACATCAATACACCAGCATTGATGTTAATTGTGTAAAAATTAATATATATATATATATATATATATATATATATATATATATATATATATATATATATATATATATATATATATATATATATATATGTCGTACCTAGTAGCCAGAACGCACTTCTCAGCCTACTATGCAAGACCCGATTTGCCTAATAAGCCAAGTTTTCATGAATTAATTGTTTTTCGACTACCTAACTTACCTAACCTAACATAACATAACTTTTTCGGCTACCTAACTTAACCTAACCTATAAAGATAGGTTAGGTTAGGTAGGGTTGGTTAGGTTCGGTCATATATCTACGTTAATTTTAACTCCAAAAAAAAAATTGACCTCATACATAATGAAATGGGTAGCTTTATCATTTCATAAGAAAAAAATTAGAGAGAATATATTAATTCAGGAAAACTTGGCTTATTAGGCAAATCGGGCCTTAGATAGTAGGCCAAAAAGTGCGTTCTGGCTACTAGGTACGACATTATATATATATATATATATATATTCAGTGTTGAGAAAAAATATTTCCAAGTTATCCCTTCTGTAGGTGTTGGGAGACTTGACACTATCCCCTCCTGCAGGTGTTACGTGAAGCCCCAGTACCTCCTGCTGTAGGTACTGTGGACAACAACCCCCAAGCTTACAGGTGTTGTGGGATATCACCCGCTCTCTTGCAGGAGTTGTATGGTATTCGACCCCCACCTTCAGGTATTACGGGACACCATGTTCCTCTCCTGCAGGTGTTGCGTGATATTCTACCCATGTTGTTGTCTTCGCAGGATTCTAAACCCATTATAAAAGGTTCTGCAAAGTTCTATCTCTTCCGGGACATGATAGTTGTCTGCGACATTTGAGTTCTTCGCCAGTACCGGGTCACAAGCCTGGCTATCCCACTTACGACATCCTACCATGTCGGCTTAGTCAGTATTTACTAAGTAGTTTACAAGCTCCGAAGCGCTACGAGGTCGTAGTGAATCCAAGATTTTTGTGTATTATTGAGGGTTGGTTTATGAGATTTAGATTCGAAAGATGATTATTTATGATTCCTGGATTAGAACATGAAATTTCCAAACACTAGAAAGTAAAGGGACGGCGAGGTTTCGGTCCGTCCTGGACCATTCTCAAGTTGATTGTGAATTATATATCGACTTGAGAATGGTCCAGGACGGACCGAAACGTCGTCGTCCCTTCACTTATTAGTGTGTGGTTTGGTCAACATATTTTAGCCACGTTATTATGACGTCTCGTCTGTATGAAATTTCCAGTTGAATATCAGTGTGAAACAGAGTTTTAATCTAACCCATTTATGTATTTATGAGTCTAGAGGAGCATAGAAGGCATGATGTGTCACGTCTCAGCTCTTGGGTCCGCCTTCCTCCTCCTGCAGCCCGCTAAGCAAGAGATCCTCTCCCTTGATCCCCTCATCGTCATGATACACGATGCCATCACCAACAACCAGGCAGATCAACTGATTGACTTTGCGAACGGCACGGTTAGTGGATGACTTCCTGGCTAGTTCTTTGCTGGTTTGGGCTCATTACTCATATTTACTTCATTTCTCATCCTCTTCTCATTCTCTCCTCATCCCACGTCTTATCTTTATCTCTCTAAGCAACTTTTTTTTATCATTTTTACATTCCTCGTTTTATTTTCATCTTGCCATTTTATTCCTCATCTGCTCTTCATCACTCGTATCAACTCATCTCTCCTTCTATCCTCAATCTCTCATCATATTCCGGGCTATTCATGCCCGTGCCACCTCTTGAGTGGCTTAATCTTCATCAATCATCAATCTCTCATCATCTCTAAGCTGCTCCTGGTGACCCAAACCTGTGAGGCGTACAACAGGGTGATGTTGGCTGGTCCATGTTGTTGTTGTTGTTGTTGTTTCAGATTTAGCTACTCAGAACGTGTAGCACGGGCTATGGTGAGCCCGTAATCCGGCTGGTCCAACCAACCAGTTCCTTTATATATTAACGTGCCATTCGGTACACCCGATGATATTACGTGACATATCGTGGACTTTGCTGGGTAACGCGTGCGTCTGGCGGTAGTCAGGACGTTGGTTCGATTCCCACCGTTCTGTTTAAAAGCATTTTCTCATTTAGTGATACTCTCTTTTGCGTCGACGATTCGCTTTCAGTTCTGTAAGTACGATCTTGTGAACTTCTTTCACTTAAGATGCAAGATTTCACTTAAGATGCAAGACATATTTACACAAAGTTTTTTGACTCAAGATTCTGCCCATTCTGTATTTAAAACTTGAATAACAAAGTTCTGTCTAATTTGCTTATAAACAGTTCCCATTTACAAGAATTTACGAGCTCTTAAGAGCTACGAGAGCGAGTACTGAACGAGCTCAACAACTGTAGTAAATAGACTAATCCGCAATCCTCGACTTAAGAGGAAGAGATCTCGTAAGTGAAGAGCCCCGCCCTCCTCTCAAACAATTCATCACATATTGACGTCAAAATCCCCCCAACAGACAAATAACATGGTACTATAAACCATAGTGGTTCACGAACAATCACGTTATCTAATGCGGGGGTCTCCTAAGTTAGGTTAGGTTAGGTTAAGGACGCGCATTCTAGTACACCGTTTCAAAGTCCGTTGTGGCAACGTGAGAGGGCGGACTGAATTGAATTCGTAACTAAGGTAAACTTATTTTCTGACAAAATAAGAAAGACCATAACTCCTCTCCATCCACAAAATATGACAATAAAATAGGTCGTCCTTCATTAAACTTTAATAATTATTCATTTTGACCAGACCACACACTAGAAATTGAAGGGACGACGACGTTTCGGTCCGTCCTGGACCATTCTCAAGTCGATTGTGTGATTGTGACACAATCGACTTGAGAATGGTCCAGGACGGACCGAAACGTCGTCGTCCCTTCAATTTCTAGTGTGTGGTCTGGTCAACATACTTCAGCCACGTTATTGTGACTCATCGCCTGCAATTATTCATTTTTTTTTACAGATGGCGATGGATACATATCCTGAACGACTAACCACTTTCAAATTATTCACTAACAACTCCCATCCGGTGGTGGAGATGATGGTGCGCAAGGTGAACTACTTCACAGGTCTCCTCACAAACAACACGATCTCCACCACTGAACTTGGAGACAATAAGGTGGGGTGAAGTGTGGATATCAGCTCTGGTGTAGGCGAGGAGTCTCAATAACGTGGCTGAAGTATGTTGACCAGACCACACACTAGATAATGAAGGGACGACAACGTTTCGGTCCGTCCTGGACCATTCTCAAGTCGATTGTGATGAAACGTCGTCGTCCCTTCATTTTCTAGTGTGTGGATTGGTCACATCAGCTCTGATGGTTGACAGCGTTGCGTGCGCTGCTGGTGATATCCCAGCTATGTGTGCTCCAGCGGACGGATGTGAGTCTCGACACACGGAACACTGGAGGGGGTTCGAAGGAACATGGAAGGAACCAGGGGTCATGGGAGCGACCACAGGGACATCAGTTGACCCACAGCCAGGGTGACATGGAAGTGGTCCAAAGCCACGAAACAATATGATTAACCTGCTGAAATGGGAGGGATTGCAGGATATGGCAAGGCGAGGGATAAGAGGAACAGTACACACAGAAATCACAATAGCGTGATATATCAAATGAACAAATAAGGGCCATGATGAGGGTTCGAACTTACGTCCGGGATCATCCCAGACGCGACCTTAGTCGACTGCGCCACGACATGGTAAAAAAAATTGCAAACGGGAGTTCTATTGACCTCACTCGGATCCTGCAGCCTCTCAGAGACACAAACCAGGGTTTTACACAATTCCCCCATCAATAGGACTCTATCAACAAGCTGTACTACCTGTTCACCTTTACTTCAATACACACAGAAGGCAGCGACTAAGGCAGCGTCTGGGATCATCCCGGACGTAAGTTTAAACCCTCATCACGGCCCTTGTGGATTTGTTCAAGAGGAACAGGTTCACATATAAGAAAATTGCAAACACAGATAAACCAAAATGTATGTTAAGACCTTTTCCCACCTCCCTATAGTCTCTCTCACCCTCATGTTTATGAGGTACGAGTTAGGTGAAGTTGGAGAATGAGGATGGTAGTCCCCTGAGGCAGCATGTTACCGTTCTTGTGCTGGAGACGCAGGGAGGAGGAGGAGGAGGCGGCGGTGGCTGGCTGGCTGGCTGGGTGCACCAGACCACATAATGACACCACCATCGTCCACAGATACGGAACTACGGCGCCGGCGGACACATCGGGCGCCACGTGGACGTGAGGTACAAGCACGGACGACTGGTAAGCACAGCAGCAGGGGGGCGGTCTATGGTGGCGTGTGGTGGCTGTCGTCTTGCCTCTCACACTGCTTGCTCATTTGTTTATGATGAGTTTTCTTGAGATACAGGTGTTGTTCCCGCTATGTCTTCCCTCTATATATCTTCCCCCTATATTTCTTCCCCCCTATGTCTTTCTGTCTCTCTCAAACGTGCATATTGATCAGGATACAACTCTCTCCCCACAGAACTCTTCGTATCTCTACACGGTTGGAGACCGGTTGCTCACCTGTGTGTTCTATGTAAGTCACATCACTCGCCCTCACGCTGCTCCCAGCCTCCGTATCTGCACCTCTCCCTCTCCTGCCCCTCACACACCCCCTACCCACCCACATCCCAATTCATTCATTCACTGCCAGTAGTACAAACAGTTGTAGTAGGTGTAGTTGTATAGGTAGTAGTAGTAGTGATGGTAGAAGTACTGATATTGTGATTATGTTTGGGCAACGTTTCCTTTCACCTAATTCTTATGTTCACTTAGTAGTAAACTATAGTAAGCAAAAACCCAGGAATTATAGGTTGTGGGTTGCATCCTGTCATCCGAGGTCAACTGATGACCATCCCTAGATCACCAGTTGACCTCGAAATGGTGGTGGGGGTGACCTCCATAAGCTCTACCATCTACCTGTCCTCCAACAACTGGAAACAGTAAGTTAGACTATAAAATGCAAGAAAATCATACTTCTAGAATAGTTTAAGAAAAAGGTATATCGAAAACCACCTCATTCAATGATCCGTTCTCACAGCTGAACAAAGTTACTGCTGGAGGCAGCACGAATTTCTTCAAGCTGGATCTCGCTGTTCCTCCTGAGAAGGGCAGCGCCGTCTATTTTTACAACTTGAAGAAGAATGGAGATTTCGACTTCAGGATGTACCACAGCGGCTGTCCCGTCCTGCTGGGGTCGAAGTGGGGTGTGTAATATGGTGTACTCTCCCACCTTCCTGTATGTGTGCTGACCCATCTTGCTGGGGTCTACGTGGGTGTGTGTGTGTATATATATATATATATATATATATGTGTATCATGAAAATATACACGTGATTAAAAATGTGACAGTGTCAGACCACGGAGGAAAATTGAAACAGGAATTTCCTTAAGTACTTTCGTATATTAATAACTCCTCCTGAAGATGTATTAATATACGAAAGTACTTAAGGAAATTCCCGTTTCAATTTTCCTCCGTGGTCTGACACTGTCATATATATATATATATATATATATATATATATATATATATATATATATATATATATATATATATATATATATATATATATATATACTCTCAATATACTCCTGTATGTTTTGATTGTTGCTTGCCAATGACGTGTATCTTACTGTGCACGACAGCTCGTGCAGTGAGCGGTAGTTTACTGCACATTAAATACTCATCCTGTGAGCGGTAGCGCAAACAAGATCAAAAAGGGCACGAAATGTCTCAAAGATATTACATCAGCATCTATGCAATAGTTGCACACCATATAAGTGACTTCTTGCACTGCAACTTTTATGAATTGCAAAATATTTTATTATACACTGGATGTAAGTTTTATTTGTTGTAATGAAATATTTTTCACTAATGGATATTGCATGAAAAACAAACAAGCTACTGTTTCTTATTTTAGTCTATACTTTCATTGCATTATTTTATTTACTAAAAGTTCCTTTATCTACTAGAAACAAAAAATAGAAACAGTGAAAGATTTTCATATATTTTATTACTACTACTAATTTTTTTCATGCAACATACTCTTTTATTTATTTATTTATTTATTTATATACAAGAAGGTACATGGGGTTTGTGAGAATACATTGGATAGTACAGTATTTACATTCTTGTAAAGCCACTAGTACGCGCAGCGTTTCGGGCAGGTCCTTAATCTAGCAGATAATTTTAAGTAGGTAATTTCAATCGGAATTGATAAATGATAAAGATACATTACAAGAGAAAAATGAGATGAGAGAGATAAGTAGGTATATTAAAGCATATTGTTATATTAAAGCTCTGATTGATTACATTGACAGCTTGATTAGTAATTTAAACAAGGTTAATAGACACCATACAGCAGATTGACAGCACATATAAGACAGCAATGATCACAATGGTAAAGATGTTCAGATTGGGTACATAAAGATTGGGAGACTGGGTAGCAAAAGATACAGAAAACAAGATTTATAAACACCATATAACAGATTGGCAGCACATATAAGAAAACAGCAATGATCACAATGGTAAAGATGTTCAAATTGGGAACATAAAGGTTGGGAGATTGGGTAGCAATTGATACAGTGCAATTTTAAGGCAAAAAGTGAAAAACTATGAAGATGAAATTAGGTATTTTTTAGTATTGATTTTGAATGATGTAAAAGTTGGACAGCTTTTCAATTCAGTAGGGAGTGAGTTCCATAAACTGGGTCCCTTTATTTGCATAGTGTTTACACAGATTAAGTTTAACTCTGGGGATATCAAAGAGATATTTATTTCTGGTGTGGTGATAATGGGTCCTATTATATCTGTCCAAGAAGAGTTTTTCAGACAAGGATTTGCATTTAAGAACAGGGTTTTGTAAATGTAGTTGACACAAGAGAATTTGTGGAGTGAGATTATGTTTAGCATGTTTAGGGAGTTAAACAAGGGGGCTGTGTGTTGTCTGAAAGCAGAATTTGATATTATTCTGATAGCAGATTTTTGCTGGGTGATGATGGACTTGAGGTGGTTTGCAGTGGTTGAACCCTATGCACAAATACCATAGTTGAGATAGGGATAGATTAGTGCATAATATAGAGAGATGAGAGCAGAGTTAGGAACATAATATCTGATTTTGGAGAGTATACCAACTGTTTTAGATACTTTTTTTAGTTATGTGTTGTATGTGGGTACTGAAGTTGAGTCTCTTGTCTAGGAATATGCCAAGAAACTTTCCATCATTTTTATTGCTAATGTTTACATTGTCAATCTGAAGTTGAATTGCATTTGTAGATTTGCTTCCGAATAGGATGTAGTAGGTCTTTTCTATGTTAAGTGTTAGTTTGTTGGTTGACATCCATAAGTGGACTTTTTTTAGTTCATTATTAACAACACCATTTAGTGTATGTGGGTTGGGGTTGGAGTAGATGAGGGTAGTATCATCAGCAAACAAAATAGGTTTCAGAATGTTAGAGACATTAGGCAGGCTATGTAGCAGTTTCTTGAAACGTCGACATTTTCACATAGTATAAAAATATGTATGGCCTCAGACTCTCCACACACACACACTTTACTTCACGTAGATCCCTATACAAAGTCAGACTGCCTGAGTTACCTGTAGCCATGTCGTCGTATTCGAGCTGTGACAACGTCTGGTGGTCTGTTGATGTTACTTGACCCCATACACATGTTTTCTTTGATACATTTCATAGTGATGAGCAGTGGACCCGCTAGTTCCCGTTTACACTGGTATAATTTTTGACTAATTTATTGATGAGTTTTAGGATAGTTTGGTACACTTCTGATACTTCAATAACTATTGAGAGTTAAAAATATTTATCAGTAATAGTTATGTAAATATCTAAATAATTATGTAAATATATGTTTATCAGTTATATACAAATAAATAAATATTATGAGTATTACAAAATTATATGAATATTATATTAAAAAATAAAATAATATATTTAAATGTTAAAATCTGCTACATTAGTGAACTGAATTATTACTTTAAACATATATATAAGAATGTAAAAATTAACATTATTTTTAAAATTTTGAACTACAAAAGCAGGACATAAATTATATTTGTCTCATTTATGTCTGCTGCAGTGGGGTTGAAGTGGGTGAGAGAGAACGACAACTTCTTGACTTACCCCTGCAGCCTCGACCCCAACGTGTAGCCTCCACCACAACGCCAACCACCACAACTACCAGCCAGCTACCACCACTTCTGCCAACATAACCACTTCCGCTACCACCATTTGTTCACAGCGCCGCCATTCGTCTCACTGAGAGCGTTGAAGCTCAATTTATAGACAAGAAAACACCATCTTTCTCTCTCTCCAAGTGCCGGGCAATGCACAAACAAGGCTATCAAAGAACGCATCATTTCTGCAAACAACCAATCACCGGAGATATCCTAACCAACAACACCATAATCGACAGATACAGCAAGAACTGAAGATTAAACATAGACGAAGCAATACATACCAAACGTTTCACCAACTATTACAAGCCAGCTTACACTTAGGGATACATAACTGTGCCTGAAAATCAAGGCAGAAGATCCCAGCTCTCGCCTCACCCACTACATCAGCCAACATCGACTGGGTAACCTGCCTATCTTGAGTAACTTCCGGGGATCAACGGCCCCGTGGAACGGCTTCCGACCTCTCTGTTGGTCGTCTAGTCAACTAGGCTATTGGATGTGAGGCTGCTCGCAGCCTGACGTATGAATCACAGCCTAGTTGATCAGGTATTCTTTGGAGGTTGGTCCTAGTTTTATGTTTACTACATAACTTTGCTTATGTATGGACCTAGTTTAGTTAGGATGATTTTCATTGCTATGCTATATCACGCCATTGTGATTTCACTGCGATAATATCTTCAGAATATATAATTTTGTGAAGCAAATTAAACCAATAAATTAGATCTTTATTCAAGCAGCAGCATGACTATTAAATATTAGCAAAACAACACACAAATAGATATCCATTATTAAATACTCTTTCCTACTTGTCTTCCAACACTGTACACTCAAAGGTTCCTTTCTTCACTACCTCGGCGACTATTCGGTCTATATTCCAATAAATCAACCATGATAATGTTCATAATTCTGACGAAACTGCCCAAATCCCATTATAATACAGAGTTCTGTGTCATCTTTTAATCGGCGGCTGCATCACATTTCCATTACCCGGTGCAAACTCCTTCTTGAATGTCCTGACTTCCAGGACGAGCGTGTGTCTTGCTTTCCGACCGCCCCTCGCGGTCACCTGTCCCTCGATAGAATTCTTGGTGACTCGAATACTTTTGATATCGTTCGCCTTATGCGTTTTTGTTCTCGTATTGGCATCCTTGGTGATATTTAGCGCCCTCTGATTATTTTGCGTATTTGATGGTGCTACATAGCCTTCCCGGTTTGGTGCCTTCTTTTGATAATTACTTGCTTACCCGGTGCAAACCTGACGGCTTGCTCTCCAACACTGTCTAGAAGCTGGCTGGTAATCCTTCCTCTCATAGTGAACATCTGTAACACACGGCCCATCAGAGTTCAGGGGGAGACACATGACATGAGAGATGCTGAGAGTGAGGAAACAACGGGAGCTCGATGGGGTTATAGTGAAGAGCTAGTCTCCCCCTCACAAGGCGAGTGAGGGGACTCAGACTGCAGCCTGGTGGTGGCAGGATCTATGGTAGGGGCAGAGGGGGAGTGGTGTGAGGGATCAGAGCGCCAACAAAGAATGTCCCCTCTGGAGCGGGAAGATATGTCCCTAGCTCCATCCGCAGTGCAGAGTTGATTAAGAACGTTCGGTTCTTAACTGAACGTTCAGTTTAGTTAAACTGAACTAACTTAATTGAAATGCTAATCAGTCATATAAATATATGACCTGATTAGCATAAATATATATCACGAAACTGGTCAGGGTTTTATGGAAGAAAAGAGTTTGATGCGTGTCCTGTAACAGCAGATCTTCACGTGTCTCAAAAGACAGTGTGAAGATCACACGACTTGATAATAGGTCTGGCCCTAGCTTCGGTACGGGGCGGACGTGTTGAATCGGCGCTCCAGCAGTTGGTGTTGTTTGCCCGTTTCGGCTGGTTGGGGGCGGGTGTGTGTCTGCTCGCCTGTGCTGACGTGGCGTTACGATGGGGGTCCCTCTACCCCCTGTCGTCCGGGCTCAGTCTGTGGGACGTTGTGGTCTTTTGGGCCATCAGGCTGCTGACTGTTCTGCGCCTCCTGCTGCACCAGTGAATCTCTTCAGTGAGGAGGATTTTCCGCCCCTTCCTGTGGGGGATGATTCGGTGGGTATGGACGTCTCTTCGGCTGAGGAGGTGCCCTCTGTAGCAGCTGTTGCTCCGCCTGTTGCGCCCCCTGTTGTTGCCGCATCTCCTCCGGAGGTTGGGTCCTCGCCTAGTGCTCCAGCTGGTGTCCCTGAGCCTCTTCCGCCTGCCGTTTGCTCAGACCCCTCGTCTTCCAGTTTTTCCTCTGCTCTGTCTGTCCCGGTCCCTGCGCCCTCGCCGTCTGTTCCGGCTGTGCTGGGAGCTGAGGTGGTTCCGGCATTCCCTCCTGTGCCTGGCCTGGTGCCCCGTGTGGTTGAGGAGGCTGCCGTGCTGCGGCGTGCGTCGGTTCGCTCGGTTGGTGCTGCGCGGGTCGCTGAGTCTGCCTCCGGGTCTGATTATGTGCGGCCCGAGCCTAAGCGTTCCCGGCGTTCTTCTGCGTGGGCTGATGTTGGCGAATTCGAATACAGTCTCCGTGGTGTAGTGGTAAGACACTCGCCTGGCGTTCCGCGAGCGCTATGTCATAGGTTCGTATCCTGGCCGGGGAGGATTTACTGGGCGCAATTCCTTAACTGTAGCCTCTGTTTAACGCAACAGTAAAATGTGTACTTGGATGAAAAAACGATTCTTCGCGGCGGGGATCGTATTCCAGGGACCATATAGGATTAAGGACTTGCCCGAAACGCTACGCGTACTAGTGGCTGTACAAGAATGTAACAACTCTTGTATATATCTCAAAAAAAAAAAAAAAAAAATCGACGAGTGTCGTCCTTCCGTTGACGGTGGAGTGGCTCCGGATGTGGTGCACACTACGGTGGTGGCGGAGGTACACTTGCCTGAGGATGCCGGTGCCGGCGTTTCGGCCTCACCTTCTGGTCCGGTGTCCGAGGGTCCTGCTTCAGGTGCGTTGCCTGCGTCGGATGGCTCCGGTTCTTCGTGGGCGGTGGTTCCCCCTGCTGTAGTTGGTGGTGAGCGGGGTGGCCTGGTAGTGATGTTGAGAAAGGATGCTCGCTCTGGATGTTCTGTGGCCCCTTCCTCGTTACCCGTTTCCTCGGCAGCGGTCTTGCCGCCTCTTCCGTTTCCTGCAGTCCCTTCCGTGTCTCCTGCGGTATCCGTGGAAGTGCTATCGTCTCAGCGTCCGGCACCTACTCCGATGACGAAGGCGTGGCAGGCTCGGCGACCCTCGTCCGCTTCTCCGGTGTCATCTGCTTCCTCGAAGGGCGTGGTTAGCGCTCCCCAGCCTCGTTATGCGACTTGCGTCAGTGACCTTGGGCGTTGGCCGATGCCGCCAGATATAGATGTTCCCGAGTTTATGTTACCCGCTCGAGCGCGGGGGGTCGAAAACCCTACCGACCTTGAAGATCTAGTCTGGGAAGCTTACAAGGCGAAATATCCTCATGATCTTTTCCCGGAGAAGTACATTTCTCACGAGGTTCCTCGCAAGTGATTTCTATGTATTTTGTGTTGCCTGGTTGTGGGGTGTGTATGTGAGTGGGTGGGTGGGGTGGGTCTTGTTTCCCGGTTCCTGCGTGCTCCGGTTTGTATTTTGTTTTTTTTTGTATGGCTAGTGGGGGGGTGTGCGGTTCCTATGCGTTTGTGTGTTCGGTTGTGGATGTCGTGTGCGCTTGCTTGTCATATTGTGTGCCCTTCAGGCTGTTGGGGTGTGCTCTTTGTTATGAGTGCATTATGTGTGTGAGGTGTTAGCGGACTTGTTTTGTATGTTTCTCGCCTCTCTGTTTCCCTTATGTTTGTATTGCGCTGTGTTTATATTTGTGTTATGTTTGTATATGCATTTTTGTTTTGTGGTCAGCCCTTCTGGCTGGTCTTCTCTTGATTTGTTCCTTTGTCATTGTACGTGTGTGTGCTTTGTACTTTTGTTCTATGTTATATTTGTTCTGTTTTTATTGTACATTATACGCATGCTTGCATGTAAAAAAAAAAAAAAAAAAAAAAAAAACTTGATAATAGTCCAGGACGAACTGTAACGACGTCGCTTCTCCATCTTCTGATTTGTGGTTTGGTCATCATTTCTTCAGCCACGTTATTATGACTCATCGTCTGCATCGGCTCCAAACTAACGCTCACGAGGCAAATTTGTGATATTTATAAAACTGCAGGGGGGGGGGGTATTGGGCAAAGTGTGACCCAGCGCATCGCTGTTTCACTAATTGGCATATTTTCGGTATAAAGAGTCGTAATTTCAAACTGCAAATATGTGCTCACGGAACGTAACGTAATGTCACGTCATTCTCTCTGAAACAACTCTATATTTCAATAGTGAAATAAAATAAAATACCACAAGATATCAGTTATTTGATACGACTGAGGACATGAAGTAAGAGTATTAAACAATGCTCTCTTCTATATCAATTCATTCGTTAATATTCGTGAATGTGTGCATCCATTGCTTAATTCAAATATATTAATATACATTCTTGGTGTTTAGAGAGGTATGTGAACCATTGTACTGCTAATTATGAAACTAGCTTTCATGTTGACACTCATTGCTGGGCAAACTGTACTCAATTCTATATCAATTTCATTCGTTATGGTGATTCGGCCACCAGAGGTCGTCTGGTGAGGGTGTGGTTTCCGCGCCACTCTCAGTGTTGACCCGATTGTTGGTGTGTCCGGACCGGGGCCGCAGCCCTCCGGCTGTTTGGTTGGCGTCATGGGAACAGCCCTTCCTCCTATTCGCCGTTCGGAGACGATTGGCCTGGAGTTCTCTGGCTGGGCATCGTACCATGCCATGGAAATTGTTATGTTGGATATGTTCCGCGTTCAGGTCCCAGATGTGTTTCCTGTACAGCTCCTCACGAACCACCAGGTGCTCGTTAAGTTCCATTCACCGGCTGTTTATAAGGACTTCGTGGCCCGTTATGACGGGCGCTCGTTTACCCTCCCTGATGACGGTAGTACCGACTCTGTCTCCGACCGCTGCTGCTCACTTACATATGTGGCGCTTCATTGGGGTACCTATTGAGTTCTCTGAAAACCTGCTTCGGCAATATTTTGGAAACTATGGGACCGTGGTAATTTGATTACGTAATTTCAAACTCCAAATATGTGCATTGAGCCAGAATTTGGCTAAAAAATAACGCTCCTGAGACAGATTTGCTATATTTCTGATAATTTGAAAACTGCAGGGGGGGTTTGGGTAAAATATGACCCATCGTCGTTTCCACTAATTGGCATATTTTCGGTATAAAAAGTAGTAATTTCAAATTCCTAATACGTGCAGAGCCAGAATTCAACGGCGATGGGTTATATTTTGGCCAAACCTCCCAACAGTTTTCAAAATATCTGAAATGTCGGAAATTTGACTCCTGAGCGTGATTTTTGAGCCAAATTCTGACTCTGTGCACCTGTTTTTATTTTAAAATTACTCCTTGGGAGAATATTATTTTCTACGATGACAGCCTGAGGCACCGTCCTCCCATTTCTAAATCGATGTCCAAGTAAATACTTTATTTGGACGAATTCTACGTCGCGAGCACCCTGTTCCACAAGCTCCACGACCGGAACACCGTGTTCCACAAGCTCCACGACCGGAACACCGTGTTCCACAAGCTCCACGACCGGAACACCGTGTTCCACAAGCTCCACGACCGGAACACCGTGTTCCAGCACTGCCAACATCACCTCAAGGCATCAGTAGGTCTGCAGGTTATATTTGTCAATAAACACTGAACACCTCAAATGTCCATCAGTAACCGAAAGTGTCGACCCTCTCAAGGCTTCTACCCTCTCAAGGCTTCTACCCTCTCAAGACTTCTACCCTCTCAAGGCTTCTACGCTCTCAAGGCTTCTACGCTCTCAAGGCTTCTACCTTCTCAAGGCTTCTACGCTCTCAAGGCTTCTACGCTCTCAAGGCTTCTACCCTCTCAAGGCTTCTACGCTCTCAAGGCTTCTACCTTCTCATTTGAGTCTCTCGGGCCAATAAACGTACATACAGTACAAAGAAAAAGCCCTTTGAAAAGTTTTTTCCATTACATAAAATAATAACATGCTTCCTTTGCGTTTTCTTCAGTGCAGATTAACGTCGAGCGCCATTGGAAGAAACAATGCACTATTAGAACCCATATTTACCTGAATTTACTTGAGTGCCAAGTAAAATATATATTACATAACATGAAATAATTATTTTCGCAGAACAAAATTTAACTATGAATCAGTCTTTCTACCAAAACTATTGAAGAAAAATCGATGATCACATATAAAATATAACTCGCAAGCTAATGTGTGTCTGTGTCACTATGGCAACAGTTGAGATACATTGGGAGCTAACTAAAACCAATAAAAAAAAACTTTTTCTTAGTTATCCATTTCGTTTTCTTTTACAAACCTTCAACCTAAAGAGAAATGTTTGATAAGTTGTGGGAAACTATATTATAAAAGGCAATTAGCCTATTAATCTGATATTGGCTTTCCCAATTCTTGTTTTTTTTATTTTCGTCTAAAGACTTGCATCCTCATATTACAGGGCCAAATGGGCCTGACTCTAAATAGTACAGCGCCCCTGTACATGAAGCCAGTTTATACATACAGCACATTGCTAGGTTTAAAGTGTGGAGGCGGTCGCCTAGGGGTTGTGGCCGACCAACCACGTGGTAATCAACATACACAGAAATGGCGAGAAAATGGGGAAAACAGTTGTTCACCTTGAGCTGAAGTCTTCTATGGGAGGGCTGAAGCAATGCGACGGCTTCTCAGGGGCGAGGATGGACGAGGTCCAATGGTAGCTGGCCAATACGAGGTGCTGGATGACCACTGTCCAGGAGGCGTCACTAACAGGTGTGTCTTCGGTGCGGTGCGGTTCTTCTCTCCCCCCTTCTCTCGCCTCCGAGCATGCGCGTGGGTGATGCGCAGATGCACGGCGTCGGACTGCCGTCCACCAATCAGGAGCGGCTAACATAAGAAATATTCCCTGGCGAGCATTTTGAATGTGGTTCCCTCTACAAAAGCAAGGTCCCCCCCAAGGTCGAACTACTGTTTTTTACCTGATTTACTTGAAGGCCACTAAGACCTAGTGGCCTCAATGAGGACAAGAAGCTGGTGGCTTGTCGAAGGTCTCCCCCATTTGCCTTGATGATCTTTTCTATGTATATTTTAAAACTCAACACAGTTTTCGCAGTTACGGCTTCGGCGGGTTGGCGGTTCCGTGGGTTAATAACCCTGTGGGTGAAAAAGCCTCTCCTGTTCTCAGTCCTACATTGTGGCTTGTTGATCTTTAAGCCCTTACTCCTTGTTTGTGTTACATCTGACCTGAAAATATATCTGGATCAACATCCTATAACTTGTTCAGTATTTTAAAAGTTTCAATGAGATCCGCCCTGTCTTGCCTGGTTTGCAGTGTTGTTAGGCCCTGTGGCCATCAAGCGTTCCTGATACGAGAGATGACTTAGCTCTGAAATGGCTTTTGTTGCCCGGTGTTGCACCTTCTCCAGAGTAGCTATATCCTCCTGAAAATGAGGTCTCCATGCTTGGATACAGTAGTCAAAATGGAGTTGCACCAGAGATTAATACAGTTGAGCCATTACCTTCTTTTCCTTATAGTCAAACGTACGCTTGCTTATCCCAAGAGTTTGGTTAGCTTTTCTGACTGCTGCACCCACCTGTTGTGTAACTTTTTATGAGTGGTGGATTTTGACTCCAAGGTCCTTTTCTTCGTCAATTTGCTGTAATCTATTGCTATTAATTTGGTAGTCATGGCATGAGTTGTTATGCCCCACATGCAAGGTCTTGCATTTGTCGATATTAAAAAGCATTTGCCAGTCTTCTGACAATCTCTGGAGTTCATGTAGATCTCTTTGTAAGGCTTCACTATCATTACCATTTCCCACTTTACCATAAATCTTTGTGTCGTCTGCAAATTTGATGACGTCGTTTATAATATGCTCATCTACGTCGTTGATGTATATAACAAAAAGGGTAGGTCCCAAAATGGACCCTTGTGGCACCCCACTTATCACATTTCTCCATCTAACTCCCCCCCCCCCCCCAGGAGGCAACCCCACAACAGTTGACTGACTCCTGGGTACCTATTTACTGCTTAGTGAACAGAGGCATTAGGTGAAAGAAGACGAACTCATCCATTTCAGTCCTGCCTGTGATTCGAACCCGGGATTCCAGATTGTGAGTCAAGAATGAAGCTACTTGTATTGCCGTGACGGCAGCCCAGGAGAGCAAAAACAGAACTTGACTCACCTAAGAGCAAAATACGCAACACAGACGCAGCTTGACTCACCTGAGAACGATATACGCCACATAGACGCTTGTGTGAAGTGGTTCCGATCCTCTTAACATAGGCCCATAAAGCACAGAAGAGCTTATAAATACCTGAGTGTAAGGCATAACGTCGAGGGTCCTGATTCACCTGAGTGACTCGCCTAGTGTGAAAGTGTTCGTGTTTATCTGAGTGACTTACCTAGCGTTTACAGGTGTTCAGGCTGACCTGACTCACCTAGCGTCAAGATGTTCAGATTTACATGAGTAACTCACCTAGTGTCAAGATTTACCTTGACGCTAGGTGAACCAAATTTACCTGACTGTAAACTGACTGACTAGCGTCAAAGTATTCAGGTTTACATGAGTGACTCACTTAGCGTCGAGGTGTTCGGGTTAATCTCATTTACTAATCGTTAAGTAACACTACTAATAGAACGAAAGTACTCGTTTGAGTAAATTCTTAAGTCCAATACATAGCTTCCCTTATACACCAAATATAATCATACAGCTGTACAAGACAAAATATTATGGCTCCCAAAATGCTCTTTCTTATTCTGGAGTGTATACTGTCTTTGTTTTGTTGCAACTGTGTTTTGAGGGAACTTAATCTTATGCTCAATAATTTCAACCATATATATGTACCAATCCACATTGTTCACAAATCCAATAACCCGCCTTATATTCAGTATCATCAACTTAATACTATGTACTCCACCTTATGTTTAGTAATCCTCCTTATACTCAAAAATCTTCTCTTTTTACTCAAAAATCCACCTAAAATTCACAAATGCGTATCGTTACAGTTAGCATCGTTTAAACCTGTATTAACGGCTTATTTACATAATATTGAACAATTTGGAAAGACCCTTCAGTTAATACTTTATTAAGAAACCAATCACAAAAATTCCACACCTTAACCCTTACACTGCTACAAATTTCAAATGCAAATATTTATTTTCCCCATTTGATTTCCTGATTACTTTATAATAGACAAGTTGCTCTTGCAACAGTTATGTATAAATGACAATATACATAACTGTCATTTATGGATTAATGGGTTGTTTATCGAAGGGCATAAGCTAGACTTCGCTTCCCCCGTAATCATTAATAGGTAAGTCTGAGAGGAATTTTGGAAAACCAAGGAATCGGTAGTTATGAGGAGTAAGCACTAAGCCTGCATGACTATATAGCACGAGGAAGGAATATGAGGAGGACAGGATGGAGTTGGGATAGGGGGGGAAGGAGTGAAGGTTAGAGCCTATCCATTTTGGATCGTTATGGAATCGAACGCCGGCCTGCAAGAAGTGAGGCCTTCGTTGTACTGACCCGTTCATATTCCTGGACATGTTTATATTGAAATGTTATTACGTGAGTTCCTAAAACTTAAGGTTAATATATTAAAATACGAGGAAATCAAAACAAAATTTTCTGGTGGATTTATTTTATGTACTCATATAAAAGAACAAGGATCAACAATCTTGTAAATACATTCATTAATATCAACAGCACGGGACGAACCTCCCGGTGGGGCCTCTGCAGAAAAATTTGCAATTCTGGCTTCCAACCGATGATCCTTGGCCACCGAGGCTTCCACCTTGGCCACCGAAGCCTCCACCTTGGCCACCAAGGCTTCCACCTTGGCCACCGAAGCCTCCACCTTGGCCACCGAGGCTTCCACCTTGGCCACCGAAGCCTCCACCTTGGCCACCGAAGCCTCCACCTTGTCCCCCAAAGCCTCCACCTTGCCCACCGAAGCCTCCACTTTGTCCACCGAAGCCTCCACCTGGCCTGTTAGTGGTTGGTCTTCCAGGTCTGCTTGGACTCCCTGGAAACTGTCCTCCAGAGCCTGGAAACTGTCCACCAGAGCCTGGAAACTGTCCCCCAGAGCCTGGAAACTGTCCCCCAGAGCCTGGAAACTGTCCAGAGCCTGGAAACTGTCCCCCAGAGCCTGGAAACTGTCCTCCAGAGCCTGGAAACTGTCCACCAGAGCCTGGAAACTGTCCTCCAGAGCCTGGAAACTGTCCACCAGAGCTAGGAAACTGTCCCCCAGAGCCTGGAAACTGTCCAGAGCCTGGAAACTGTCCCCCAGAGCCTGGAAACTGTCCCCCAGAGCTAGGAAACTGTCCCCCAGAGCCTGGAAACTGTCCAGAGCCTGGAAACTGTCCACCAGAGCCTGGAAACTGTCCCCCAGAGCCTGGAAACTGTCCCCCAGAGCTAGGAAACTGTCCAGAGCCTGGAAACTGTCCCCCAGAGCCTGGAAACTGTCCCCCAGAGCCTGGAAACTGTCCCCCAGATCCAACAGCGCCTGGCCTAGAGGGAGAAGCTGGATTCTGGGTACCTTGTGAAGAACCTGACACCGCCTGCTCGAACAACGCTTGTAGATCCTGCAATTAAAAAACGTCAATGTTAATGGGAATTAATATGTTGCAGCATTTGCAAAACAAATGAGTAAATCAATCAGAAAAACTAATGTTAACTTATCTAGAGCACCAACAGTACTGCACTAACCTTATAGGATGGACACATGTGGTCGAAATTACATAAAAAGAGCAAATATATTATTTCAGCCTTAAGTTTAAGCCCAAGCAGACACATTCTAAATTGGAGAAATATTGAGAATACAGTAGAACACCGACCTGAATATTTTGCCCTGACGCGAGGCCACAGGACAGTGCTGCCACCATAACTAACACCCTCCATGACTTCATCTTGGTACACCTGCAAGGGAAAGGGAAGATTAAAAAGTATATATACCTTTCCTACAGAAGCTGGCAATATATATATATATATATATATATATATATATATATATATATATATATATATATATATATATATATATATATATATATATATATATATATATATATATATTTATGTATTTATATATACCAAGTATCTCCATCTGTCATAAGACGTGAAATAATCTGCTATAAGATATGCCACGTTCTCTCCATACATAAGTTACTCCTCGTAATTTCCATCAACATGATTAGTGGTAGAGCGATCAAATCTTTATTTATGTGTTTGGTCCGTAATATCTGTCATCGGATATTCCCATTAGTCTTACTTTGTCACTGCTAATTAAACACGTATATGATTTTTTGGTACTGGTAAGCTACCGGCTGTTTTTGTAAGCATGTTAACAGTATCATAATTTGAGAAGCCAACAGGCAATGCTATCCGGAACAACCTAATCTCGAATATATTTGATTTAGCAGATAAAGCTTCCTTTTGAACGAAAATAGAAGTGAGGGATAGAAGTGAGAGCAAAGGCTGGAAGCGAAAGTATAAGCTGGAAGTGAAAGTAATGACTGGAAGTAGGAGAAATGCTGGAAGTGGAAGTAAAAGTTAAAAGTAAGAAAAAAGACTGAACGCGAAAGTAAAGGTTGAACGGTCTAGGAAAGACTGGAAGTAAAGAAGAAAAGCTAAAAATTTGAACAAATAAAAGAAGTAAGAGTAAAAGCATAATGTTCACAGGATGAACAAGCTGTGTGTGCCACAAAGGTCACAGGATGAACAAGCTGTGTGTGCCACAAAGGTCACAGGATGAACAACCACTACCACTCATCTGGTAGTGATTACAAGTTACCGTTCAGCTCATCATGGCTCAGCGGGTAGTGCGTGTGTCCTAGGGGAGTCCAGGGACACGAGTTCAGACCCCCTGGTAGGGCCCCCCCTTGATATTTTCTCAAGCCGTCAACTGCTTTCACTTCCCCGTCCTGTGAATTGGTATTCCGGGCCACGTTGTATCGCTGCTTTTTAGTACACAAGGTGGGCGTTGGGGGGGGGGGGGAGAGGACCTTGACTACATGTTCTTCAGTTTGGTCTTCATTGAACGATCCTAGTGGTGGTGGTGGCAGACGATGTGACCTGGTCGTGACCCGGTCACAAGGGTCGCATTATCTTGATTGATTGATTGTGTTGGGTTAGTATATACCCTTCCTGTGAACAACAGTGGGCATGATACCCTTCCTGTGAACAACAGTGGGCATGATATCCTTCCTCTGAGCAGTAGTGGGCATGATACCCTTCCTGTGAACAACAGTGGGCATGATACCTTTCCTGTGAACAACAGTGGGCATGATATCCTTCCTGTGAACAACAGTGGGCATGATACCCTTCCTGTGAACAACAGTGGGCATGATACCCTTCCTGTGAACAACAGTGGGCATGATATCCTTCCTGTGAACAACAGTGGGCATGATACCCTTCCTGTGAACAACAGTGGGCATGATATCCTTCCTGTGAACAACAGTGGGCATGATACCCTTCCTGTGAACAACAGTGGGCATGATACCCTTCCTGTGAACAACAGTGGGCATGATACCCTTCCTGTGAACAACAGTGGGCATGATATCCTTCCTGTGAACAACAGTGGGCATGATACCCTTCCTATGAGCAGTAGTGGGCATGATACCCATCCTGTGAGCAGTAGTGGAACAGGATACACAGGCCCATAACGAGCTCAGGAACTGAGCCCCAACACCTTTTCTTCTCTCGTATCTTAACCAGTTTAAAGAGTACGCCACAGGCTCGCTCCCTGCAGGAAGCAACTGTCATCTTCTTGCAAGTTACAGCCATTCTCTGAGTCCAGTGATCGTTTCCTTTAAAGATTCTACATCGACATTTACCAAACAATATATGGTGTTTACGTTAGAAAAACAGCGGCTCATTAATTCGTAAAAGAAATGAAAAGTGTCTACGTGAATGTACTGTGGTATTGCTGCCTCGCTCTCAGGGATGCTGAGTAGTGCTATCATCTGGTCTACAGTGGCAGCGTTGAGGGCGTTGAAGGAGGGTGTAAAGGAGGGGGTGGGGTTGGTTGAGGTGGTGGAGAAGGCAGTTGTTGTTGTGGCGTGTGTGTGTGTGTGTGTGTGTGTGTGTGTGTGTGTGTGTGTGTGTGTGTGTGTGTGTGTGTGTGTGTGTGTGTGTGTGTGTGTGTGTGTGTGTGTGTGTGTGGCGTGTGTGTGTGTGTGTGTGTGTGTGTGTATGTGTGTGTGTGTGTGTGTGTGTGTGTGTGTGTGTGTGTGTGTGTGTGTGTGTGTGTGTGTGTGTGTGTGTGTGTGTGTGTGTGTGTGTGTGTGTGTGTGTGTGTGTGTGTGTGTGTGTGTGTGTGTGTGTGTGTGTGTTGCCAAGATCAGGTTGCCCGCGCCCCAGGCCAAATATTGCAGGTGGCAGCAGTTGCCTTCTTGGTCATTTCATCCATGTATCGCATTATATATATATATATATATATACGGCATCGCTCTCTAAACCCGTTGGCCTGAATAGGTTTACGCCCGCTGCTCTGAGTGTGACTATCCCTCCATATACTGTGATCACAGGGGGCGTGTGTGTAAATATACCTTGAAAAGTGGGACACCGCCACTGTGATATGGTCCCATCAGGGTATTCCCCCCAAACACGCCTCCGTCACTCTGCTGGACCCTGTCTCACAATGGTCTTTTAGTGGTAGCTGGGTGAGCTAACATGGTCCTGTGTTAGGGGGCATTTATGGCCTCGTTCTACTTGTACTTCACGTTAATGGTCTGATGAATACTATAGAAAGCAGTGGATGCAATGCTTTCCTTCAACATTCGACCATTTATAAAAGCGCATTCTACATTTGCAAAAGCACATTCTACACTTACAAAAGCACATTCTACACTTACAAAAGCACATTCTACACTTACAAAAGCGCATTCTACACTTACAAAAGCGCATTCTACACTTACAAAAGCACATTCTCCACTTACAAAAGCACATTCTACACTTACAAAAGCGCATTCTACACTTACAAAAGCACATTCTCCACTTACAAAAGCACATTCTACACTTACAAAAGCACATTCTACACTTACAAAAGCACATTCTACACTTACAAAAGCACATTCTACACTTACAAAAGCACATTCTACACTTACAAAAGCACATTCTACACTTACAAAAGCACATTCTACACTTACAAAAGCACATTCTACATATACAATGGAGTACCACACTATTTTAATGAAACATTCGATAAATATGGTTACATATGTTATTGATTAAGACACTTGTAAATGGTTAAGATCATCTGGGTACAGAGCTCAGCTTTCAGACCCTCTGCACCTGCTGCCTCAGCAGCAACTCACATCTCAGCAGTGCTGAGATCTGATCACCTCAGTTCAGCCTCCCGGGTTATGTTTCACACACAACAGTGGCCGTTTTCTCCTAGTCCTACAAGGACTAATGTAATACATCCACATGATGTATTATAATACATCAAGTGGAAGCTTCAGTTCCATATAAGTGCACTAGGAAACCTGGCCACAGGTTTCTCTGCTATGAAGCCTTGTTGTTGCCATCACCACAGGCAATAAATATCATTTGGGAACAACACAGTGAAATGCTACAGTACTCACCTCACCGCTTCCACTGAGCAACTAAACCAGAATCGTCTAGTCTTGGTCCTTATATGTGGAGAGGTGATTGTAGTGACCAGCAAACTGGTTTATCCAGAGGTACAGTCCAGTGCCGGAGCAACCGTGCCTCTCAGAGCCGTCGCAATAATTAACTGTCAGTGCCGTTACGACAATTCCAGTCAGTGCCGTTGCGACAATTCCAGTCAGTGCCGTTGCGACAATTCCAGTCAGTGCCGTTGCGACAATTCCAGTCAGTGCCGTTGCGACAATTCCAGTCAGTGCCGTTGCGACAATTCCAGTCAGTGCCGTTGCGACAATTCCAGTCAGTACCGTTGCGACAATTCCAGTCAGTACCGTTGCGACAATGCCAGCATTGTAGTACGTTTATCAGTAATAATAATAATGAATTTAGACAAACGGACAAGGAGCCGCAGGTAAGAACAAGTACACCGTCTATGAGACCATTAACACCCACAGCGTTTCGGTCATAATGTGGGAAAAGTTGAACAATATATAAGACCTCAGTGGAATCATTCTTAAAACTAAATGTGATCAGAAACATTTATCAATTAAAGAGGAGCCATACAAATCAAATGACACGTGTTATGTGAATGCTGCAATCATGATGACTGTGATCACTGCAATCTGTTGCAACTGAGCAACAGTTAGTTATTATCACACAGTTACAAGTTGAAAAATAGAATAAACAGATGTATAAAATTTTTTATTAATTTATCTTTTTTTTTACATGGCAGTTATCAGCAAGCAATCCAGTACAGGTTCAGTAATTAATGTTCAGTAACAGCAAAATATAATTTGACATTTAGGAAGTAAGTGGTTGGTTACATAGAGCTAATTAGGTAGTTCTAATAGTTCCTCGTTTAAACGGGTTGAGAGAAGGACAGTCTTTGATGTGATCTGGGAAGTCACTCTACACTTAGAGAGCCTTGATGGGCAGAACACTTGGGCTTGGGTTATTGTTCTTGTATCAGATTTAGCTACTCAGAACGAAGTGTCCATGTAGCACGGGCTATGGTGAGCCCGTAATCCTTGGGTTATTAAGTCGCACTCCTTTAATATCCAAACAGATGTGTGTTTCTAGTGAGGTGCCCGAGGGTTCTGGCACAGCCCTCTAGGCATCGTTTAAGAGGATGTACAGATAATATGTTAGACTTAATATCTAACATATTAAAATATTTCTCCAAGGGAGCCGAGTGCTGTCTGGGGCTTGAGTTTGTTATTGTTCTAATTACTGACTTGTGTTGAGTACTTACAGGTCGTAGATAAGTCTAGGTAGTAGAACTCCCCAAAGCACAGATACTGTGAGATAAGCATAGATGAAGGAGTACTAAAGCTTTACTAAGGTAAGGCGAGGTGCGTAATATATGATTTTAGAGAGAATGCCAACTCTTCATGACACATATTATCTTGCCAAGGACACATGAAGCACTCTCATGCACAAGGACACGTGATGTATTATCATACATACAAGGGCTTGGATTTGTTTTGTGTTCAGTTCCTAAAGTGTAAACACAGCGCTCAAAGGGGGGCAAAAGAATGACCTGACGTGTTATACCTCTACCTGAGACAACTAGCGCGCTACCCATGGGTACCCAACATGCCCGGTCAACGATTCTAGGAGATTGCACACGAGTGCACGCAAGGCACTGCGCATCGCATGCACGAAAGAGCGGGAATTCAGACGTGAGTGCAACCGCGCTTGTCCCCGCGTCAGTCAGCTGGGACAAGCCATTCTTGAGTACATTACAGCCGTATTGAAAGTTGAATATATATAAACAATCGAAAATTAAAAATCACACCACACACACACAATACATGCTGACCCTCTCCTTAGCTCCTGCTGTGGATGGCTATCTCTTAAGCGTCTCTACGGGCCGTGGTGGCAGTCCTGAAGGAAAGTGAAGATTCTTTGAGTGAGAATGAAGTCCTTGTCGGCCAGGTCTTCGACGATGCTGAAGTGGTCGGCGAAGTCCACCTCCAGGTATTCCGCTCTCAAGCCCGACGTCACGCACTCCTGCTCCAAACGATCAAGGTAGCTTCATTAAAACATTTGTCCGATATAATACTCCACCACTTTTGATTACATTGCAAACTGGTCAGGTATTAGCTTAAAATTTATGTCTAGAAGCATATTGATACTTCGAGTATTATACCCCAGTGGGCGGAGTATCCAAGAGTGGGCGTTGGTTCGGCGTTGAATCAACGTTAATTCAACGTTAAATCAACGTTAAATCAACGTTGTTTCGCCGTTGTCTTTGCGTTGTTCTTGGATACTGTGGCCACTGTGATATCTCCCTCATCTCTGGACCGAGACCCACCTGACAGAACTCTGCAGACTGCCTCTTGAACTCTGGGGAGTCGTGTTGACCCACAGCCACGAGGACCCGCAGACGAGCCCACGCCCGTCCCAGCACGCCCACACTGGCCAGCGGCGACAGCTGCCATGCCGTCGACCTGTCAAAGGTCGGACTTCAACTATAACAGATATTTAGGCCATGGTATAAAGAGTTCATTCTCATTCAGGGGTCCCTTGGATAACGCCAAGCAAGTTAGGATCGTGGTTTATGGGGATAAAAACGCATTCCGGTCCCTCTAACGGCGGCCATACTGGTGAAAGTTGCCACTAACATAACACAATGAAAACGGTACATTATGGGTGAAGTGGAGAAATACTGGTGAGGCGTTTACAGCTGCCATACTCACTCGGTCAGTTGGAGAGGATCGTTGACGTAGGTGGAGACTAGTGGGCGGAGGTCGAAGACACCACTGAGGCAGACGACTCCTCGGATGATGTCAGTGTATGGTGTGATCTCGGACTCCCTGGTCGTCTCTACTGCCGTCAGAGCCTGCGGGACTCAACCAACATCGTCTAGTTATCAATCTTGAATACTATGCTTGGGGAGTCAGCAGGAGTTTGGGATTTATTGACAATACGATCAAGGAATAGCTGATGTGAGGGACGTCTGACATTACGAGATTCAAGGCGTCGACAACTAAATGGGATCTAATTCCACTGCAAATGAGTAAATACTTTTGTATCGCATATAAACAAGAACATCCCCAGGTTCTTACACACAATATTGGCCTTATATAATATAATATACACAATACATACAGTATGTACATACATACATACAATATATACAATACATACATACAATACATTCAATACTTATACAATACTTATACAATATACAATAATGTGGCCTTACACACAATACTGGAATGCTACTTTGAGAGTGCACCGCTGTTGTTCCTGCTACCGAACACCTCATACCATGTGGTATCCTACAGAGGTTTACAACTACTCAGAACATACCCTGTGGTGTCCTACAGAGGTTTACAACTACTCAGAACATACCCTGTGGTGTCCTACAGAGGTTTACAACTACTCAGAACATACCCTGTGGTGTCCTACAGAGGTTTACAACTACTCAGAACATACCCTGTGGTGTCCTACAGAGGTTTACAACTACTCAGAACATACCCAGTGGTATCCTACAGAGGTTTACAACTACTCAGAACATACCCTGTGGTGTCCTACAGAGGTTTACAACTACTCAGAACATACCCTGTGGTGTCCTACAGAGGTTTACAACTACTCAGAACATACCCTGTGGTGTCCTACAGAGGTTTACAACTACTCAGAACATACCCTGTGGTGTCCTACAGAGGTTTACAACTACTCAGAACATACCCAGTGGTATCCTACAGAGGTTTACAACTACTCAGAACATACCCTGTGGTGTCCTACAGAGGTTTACAACTACTCAGAACATACCCTGTGGTGTCCTACAGAGGTTTACAACTACTCAGAACATACCCAAGAGCTCTGGACCAAGTCCAGACCCAAAGTGAACTTTCTGGTTGGCCAAATAAGGAATTATAGCTGCTTTAATAACCCCCAGAAGGTTGATAGGCCTTATAGGCCCAACATCAAACCAAACCAGGGATACAAACACTAAGTGTCAGTTCACGGTATATACACTGAGTTGACTTTAGCTCTAGACTAAAATTGTGGCTAAAGTATAATTGATGGTTGGACAGAGAGCTATGGTGGGAGGCCTTTTAATTAATAGCTTTAGTTGCTTGACCTCCAGCACAACACCACAAGTATTGTCCTTAGTGTTGTGAGTCTGTCACCCTGTTTTGGCGCCTTTACGTTTAGGGCGTACATCTTATCCTTATTGTCTTGATTCATCATCTTTGTTTTTTTTCTAGGAAAAAACTTGTTATTATTAACTTTCTTGTTATTATTTTTTGTTAATATTCAATGATGCTTATCTGCGTGTTTTTATTTTTTTTTTTATGTGTGTTGCTGAAAATATATTTTTTTTCAAAAATGTCATAAAGATTTTAAATCAATGTTTGCTTACATGATTTGTTTGAAATGTCTGTCCCCTCTTTTCTATCCCCTGTCTGTCTCTGTCTGTCTGTCTCTGTCTGTCTGTCTCTGTCTGTCTGTCTCTGTCTGTCTGTCTCTGTCTGTCTGTCTCTGTCTGTCTGTCTCTGTCTGTCTGTCTCTGTCTGTCTGTCTCTGTCTGTCTGTCTCTGTCTGTCTGTCTCTGTCTGTCTGTCTCTGTCTGTCTGTCTCTGTCTGTCTGTCTCTGTCTGTCTGTCTCTGTCTGTCTGTCTCTGTCTGTCTGTCTCTGTCTGTCTGTCTCTGTCTGTCTGTCTCTGTCTGTCTGTCTCTGTCTGTCTGTCTCTGTCTGTCTGTCTCTGTCTGTCTGTCTCTGTCTGTCTGTCTCTGTCTGTCTGTCTCTGTCTGTCTGTCTCTGTCTGTCTGTCTGTCTCTGTCTGTCTGTCTCTGTCTGTCTGTCTCTGTCTGTCTGTCTCTGTCTGTCTGTCTCTGTCTGTCTGTCTCTGTCTGTCTGTCTCTGTCTGTCTGTCTCTGTCTGTCTGTCTCTGTCTGTCTGTCTCTGTCTGTCTGTCTCTGTCTGTCTGTCTCTGTCTGTCTGTCTCTGTCTGTCTGTCTCTGTCTGTCTGTCTCTGTCTGTCTGTCTCTGTCTGTCTGTCTCTGTCTGTCTGTCTCTGTCTGTCTGTCTCTGTCTGTCTGTCTGTCTGTCTCTGTCTGTCTGTCTCTGTCTGTCTGTCTCTGTCTGTCTGTCTCTGTCTGTCTGTCTCTGTCTGTCTGTCTCTGTCTGTCTGTCTCTGTCTGTCTGTCTCTGTCTGTCTGTCTCTGTCTGTCTGTCTCTGTCTGTCTGTCTCTGTCTGTCTGTCTCTGTCTGTCTGTCTCTGTCTGTCTGTCTCTGTCTGTCTGTCTCTGTCTGTCTGTCTCTGTCTGTCTGTCTCTGTCTGTCTCTGTCTGTCTCTGTCTGTCTTTCTCTCTCTCACCTGTATGACCAACTGGGCACCAGCTGACCAACCAGCCAGCACCACACAGCGACTGCCCCGCCCATTGGCCAGTCGGCACGCCCACGCCACCGCCGTCCGCACCTCCTTCACTATCATCTCCACAGTCACTGTCGATATGGAACACCACACGTCACTATCCTCTCTACCTGTTACCTTATGATATATAAATATATATCCACCCTGACCCTCCACCGGAACACAATCCCCCGCCCCCCCCCCTTGACACGAGGTCACAAGCCACGTACCTTGAGGTGCGAGGTCGTAGCCCACCACCACGGTTACGACCCCGTGGTGGTGGAGAGGCTGCACCACGTACGACGAGACGTCCTTGTCTAGCTCCTGCCAGTACCCTCCGTGCACGTACACCAGCACCCCGCTCTCTGGGGGATGTCAGGACGGAGGGGGTCAGTCAAACTGGGGGTGGTCGTGGTGGGGGTTTTAAACAAGTATGTAACATGTTCGTAGCTACATTAGCGGCAAGAGCCGTGTGCATAGTGGTTGCAGTACTACCAGGAGGGAGGTCCTCGCCGTATACATCAAGGACGGCGCGAGGTCCGTGTCCGTAGGCGATGTTGCGGCGGTGGGTGACGGAGGTCCTGGCCGCGTGGGACCGCTCGTTGGCCACCCTGACGTGGGCCTCGATGATCTCCTGGTCAGAGTGCCGCTTGGACCACCTCGAGGGCGAGTACTGCTGCTCCAGCTCCTGCTCAGGGAAGGAAGGACGACGATGTCAGACTTGATACCAACGTTCAGGATACTTAGGATAGTTGAGAGAGTGGATATGGGCATCATGTTTCAGTTGAGGAACAGGGGAACGAGAGGACATCATTAGAAAATCATTAGAAAATGAAAACGCAAACGAATCACAGAGATGTTCAACGAAACTGTGTATGTATGTATGTGTATGTGTGTGTGTGTGTGTACATGTATAATCACCACACGGTGTATAAAACAATTATATGTTAATTGATGCACAATGGTGCTGGCAACGCTGCACATGAGGACCTAACTGATAACTCCTCATTAATAACGTGTCCAGGTCTACGAGGGGCGTCGCTGTGCTGACACACGCATCACACACCTCTCATAGTAAGGGTAAAACCATTGGCTTACCAGGATGAACGCAGCCCGTCCTCCTAAAGTTTCCCAACGTCAAGAAACTGTCGTACTAAAGTGCCCCCTTAAAGTAACCCACCAGAGGATCCAAAACAGAAAACGGAACAGAACGTCAATTTCGCGAGCCGTTTCCATATTCTGGTACGACAATTTTTTGCCCTTCTTCTTGAGGTTATCTTGAGATGATTTCGGGGCTTTAGTGTCTCCACCCCCCAGGAAGCAGCCCGTGACAGCTTACTAACTCCCAGGTACCTATTTACTGCTAGGTAACAGGGGCATTCAGGGTGAAAGAAACTTTGCCCATTTGTTTCTGCCTCGTGCGGGAATCGAACCCGCGCCACAGAATTACGAATCCTGCGCGCTATCCACCAGGCTACGAGGCCCCTTAGGTAGAGTATACGTCAAAATGCGGCGTTCTAGTAGAATGATGGGTTCCGAGCGCATGTCTCGGTTAAGTGCCGTGGGGTGAGGCCAGTAACAAGATAGGTGAGCACATTCTCGGCCCCCCCCCCTCCCTCACCTACCCGGCTAGGGGTGCATGAAAGGCTTCCCGGGAAGAGGAATTAGCCTGGAGAATCAGTCAGAGGAATATATATATATATATATATATATATATATATATATATATATATATATATATATATATATATATGCGAACAAGCCTGAATGGTCCCCAGGACTATATATTAGGGGGGGGGGGCGGAGTGTGGGGTACTCACCATGAAGGTAGTCGGCCAGGTCGCCCCCGTTACAGTACTGTAACGGATGGTCCCCAGGACTATATAGTCCTGGGGACCTGAATGGTCCCCAGGACTATATATATATATATATATATATATATATATATATATATATATATATATATGTCGTACCTAGTAGCCAGAACTCACTTCTGAGCCTACTATGCAAGGCCCGATTTGCCTAATAAGCCAAGTTTTCAAGAATTAATTGCTTTTCGACTACCTAACCTACCTAACCTAACCTAACCTAACTTTTTCGGCTACCTAACCTAACCTAACCTATAAAGATAGGTTAGGTTAGGTTAGGTAGGGTTGGTTAGGTTCGGTCATATATCTACGTTAATTTTAACTCCAATAAAAAAAAATTCACCTCCTACATAATGAAATGGGTTGCTTTATCATTTCATAAGAAAAAAATTAGAGAAAATATATTATTTCATGAAAACTTGGCTTATTAGGCAAATCGGGCCTTGCATTGTAGGCTGAAAAGTGAGTTCTGGCTACTAGGTACGACATGTATATATATATATATATATATATATATATATATATATATATATATATATATATATATATATATATATATATATATATATATATATATATATATATGTCGTACCTAGTAGCCAGAACGCACTTCTATGCCTACTATGCAAGGCCCGATTTGCCTAATAAGCCAAGTTTTATTGAATTAATATATTTTCTCTAATTTTTTTCTTATGAAATGATAAAGCTACCCATTTCATTGTGTATGAGGTCAATTTTTTTTTAATGGAGTTAAAATTAACATAGATATATGACCGAACCTAACCAACCCTACCTAACCTAACCTAACCTATCTTTATAGGTTAGGTTAGGTTAGGTAGCCGAAAAAGTTAGGTTAGGTTAGGTTAGGTAGGTTAGGTAGACGAAAAACAATTAATTCATGAAAACTTGGCTTATTAGGCAAATCGGGCCTTGCATATTAGGCTGAGAAGTGCGTTCTGGCTACTAGGTACGACATATATATATATATATATATATATATATATATATATATATATATATATATATATATATATATATATATATATATATATATATATATATATATATATATATATATATATATCTTCCCCCCCGCTTCTATATACACATTAAGTGTATATACACTTATATTCACAACAAAGGTACAGTTTGTGGACGGTCAGTAGAAGCTCTCTTGGGGGGCCCCGGAGCCAACACCCACACATGCATGTTAAATGGCCAAACAAAATGTTTTACCTCATGGCTCATTGTTCTCCAGAGTTGACTGGCGTCCCCTTGGCTGCTGAGGACGTCCCTTTGGCTGCTCATGATGTCCCCTTGGCTGCTCAGGACGTCCACTTGGCTGCTCATGATGTCCTCTTGGCTGCTCAGTGCACAGGCAGTAGAAACAACACATTTAGCATTAATTTTATGGTTTTCTTAGTTGTGTTAAGATAAAAATATTACTTTAAATTAACATATTTTTAGCTTAAGGGGGAACAGATTCACAAGGATCTTGATGAGGATTCGAACCTATGTGCTGGGCGTGCCCAGACGCCCTCTAGTCAACTGTACCACGACACAGAATAAGAATTGCAACCTGGAGTGCTACTGCTGCCCCCCACGAGGATCCTTGAGCACCATCCACCACATTCACAATCAGGATCCACGAGAAACCTTTCAGGGTTTCTATCTGTTATGGTATAGTTGACTAGCGCGCGTCTGGGAACATGCAGGGCATAGCTAGGTGATTCACACGATGAATCATCAGCGCGTGATGACTCATGAAGATTAAGCTATTCAAGAGGTGTGGCATGGGCATGAATAGCTCGTAACGTGATGAATGTTGTTGTTGTTTAAGATTTAAGGTAGCACGGGCTATGGTGAGCCCGTAACTTACCTGGCACAGGAGCGGGGTGCGTGATGATTCGCTGTCGACGGCTTATATTAAGTTTCCACCCCATCTCTCCATCCTTTAGCAGGTTGGGAAGAAGTATTAAATGCAATTGCAGACGATGAGTCACAATAACGTGGCTGAAGATACAAAGACTAAACCAGTTCACAAAATTCCTTGAGAATTATACAAGCTTGCCTTAACGAATGAGACTTTTGTTTCATAAGTTTGCGCTAATATAGTTAGTCGGTCATGTTTTAAAAGTTGTATTTGAAGCAGTGAAGAGAATATAGGTAGAACATATAGTCTGTACCTGATGTCCGAACGCTCCCAGCTGTGTCCGTCGACTGATCCCGTCTCTCTGGAGCGAACGCTTTTACCGTGGTTGCTCTAAGCTTGTTTACCTGTAGCGTTACAGCAAGTAACTGCTGAACTTGCTGTACTCTTTACTTTTAAACAGTGCTATCTAGAAATTATAAATATTAGATTTGTTACGGCAAAATTTAGATTTCTTCTCTGTTGAAAATTATGAAGAAAAGAGTTTGGGTATGTTTTAGGGAGTGTTCGTATGTCTGGCAGAGATGTATACATGCTTCCTTTAGCTTTATTGTGTATTTAAAGGTTACAAGACATACATTGGTTGATACAAAAAATTCTTCCTTTTATTTATTTTATTTTTTATCTACCACAGACGCGGCCATATATATTTATAATGCTAGCCAGCATATATACATTTTCTTCTGTGCTCCTTGAAGAGGTTTACAGACCTGTTAGACATAATATTCTCCAGTCTTCTCCTAATATTACCTGTCTCCGTGGTGTAGTGGTAAGACACTCACCTGGCGTTCCGCAAGCGCTTTGTCATGGGTTCGTATCCTGGCCGGGGAGGATTTACTGGGCGCAAATCCTTAACTGTAGCCTCTGTTTAACTTAACAGTAAAATGTGTACTTGGTTGTAACAACAATTCTTCGCGGCAGGGATCGTATTCCAGGGACCTGCCCGAAACGCTATGCGTATTAGTGGCTGTACAAGAATGTAACAACTCTTGTATATATCTCAAAATATATATATATATATAGTTCAGGGATTTATTGAGCACTCAACCGCAGAAGGTGAATGTAGTGTTTTTACAATGTTAACCACCATATATGAATACATGCAGTTACAATGGTGTAAGTATTTGTGCACCATTCTATCCCCCCCTTCCCCACCCGTTCCATGCCAAATCCTAATCCTGATCCCTTCCAAGTGCTATGTACAGTAGTCGTAATGGCTTGACGTTTTCTCCTTATATTTCCTGTCCCCTTCCCTTCTGAAGCAGTGTTCGAGGAATCCTGTCATGAAAAATAAGTAAGACTACTTTACTGCTATGCTATATCTTCGATATAATGGGCTCAGGAATTGAAATTGAAATTGAAATTGAAATAAGTTTATTGAAGTAAAATACACACAAAGGGATGAGGTAGCTCAAGCTATTCTCACCCCGTTCAGTACATCGTGTTAATACATATATAAACACACATCACAAACAATAAACATATTACCAAACATTCTGAGAGGCTCAGGAATTGAGTTCCGAAATTAATGTAGCTGAACAAAGTAATTCAAACCACGCGGTCAATCATACATAGAAAACGTAACCTTTGTCACGGAGAACAACAACAACACGAGTCAGCTGTGACGCCACCCATCACAACATCCGTCACCACGCGCTCAGTCTCTGGGTTCCCTCACCACCCTTGCATCAACTGTCTACAACAACATTGCAGTCTTGCAACAACTGGCTACAACATCATTCAAGTCTTGCCAAATCATCGACACCGACGCCTCCTCCCTCCACAACGTCGCAAGCTTCTTAGTGTTCCTGAGGAGGAGAAAACCTTCAGGCAAACTGCACTTCCTCTTTTAAAACAAAAACAAAACCCAACAAGAGGAGCATGCCTGGGACAACTTATGTAAATATATTGTTTACAGTAGTGTTGACACAAGCCTGTAACGTGTGAGGTTGCTGAGACTCCATACATGTACTGGCTAGCTAGCGTATGTTTAATGAACACTTCTATACTAGCTCCCATGGTGCTAGTATGTGTGTTCAGGGATGATCTAAATCCCGTGGTTAATAGGGAAAGTATGCCTCTTATAATAACCTAAAACAAATGGTTTATATATTTTCTAAAAGTAGGATGCCTCTTGTCCAAGAGGCTGTTAGGATGGAATATTATCAAATCATGATGTAATCAAATCATACATAGACGTTTCCACAATGATAATTTTCTCATCAAAACTTTACATAACATTATATAGATACTATATGCCTAGATGCTAGGCTGTGTTAGCCTAGATTTGGCTGTGTTAGCCTAGATTAGGCTGTGTTAGCCTAGATTAGGCTGTGTTAGGTTTACTTGGGTTAGACAGGGCTGGGTAAGGTAAGGTTGGACTGGATACAGTTATAAATAAAGTTGGCAAACTGTCATGTACGTGATGTGATTTGTATCTGCTGAGTAATACAAAGTCATTTCACAAACAGCTCATTATCTGATTGCTAAAACTATATATTGTTAGGTTTAGCTGGGTTAAGTTAGGTTGCTTCAGGCTAATCTCGGTTAAACTTGTAAGGTTAGGGAAGTTTTTGGACAGGTTAGTAAGATAAATCAAAAATTCTAGTGCCAAACCATCATATGTATAAACTAACCTTTATCCATTTGGACAAAGGATAAGTAACTAGAGCTTAACCTATATATTCAGTTGTCCATCCATTTATACTACTGTACTTGCCTCTGCTAAGGACTTGCTTCAGTTTTTTCCTCTTCGGTGTTTGAGCGATGTTAAATAGTCTTAACAGGCTTGGTGCCTACTTTTGATAAATATTTATTGATTCTCTGACAGTCAAAGTGGTTGGACAACACTTTCATGTTCCACCCAAGTGCTATTTAATAACAATATATTGGTTTAGCACTTTTATCACACTTACCTTTTCATATTTAGCCAAATACAGTGCAAAAACACTTTGGTAAGTGTAACGTGCATGTATCGTTAACTAGGTACAGATGCAACAGAATTATTAATGATAGTACAGTACATTTCATGTAGATTCCATCTCATTTTGGCTTCTGAATGCATGGTAAACCTAATGAGTTAGCCAAACAATATGCCTTAGGGGACGTTGACTATAACCATGAATTGCCTATGCAAGAGAAATAATTCAGGAACTTCAACAAAATCAATTAAATCTATGCTAACACTTTCATCTGTCATCATATGTGCAAGAAAAGTCATAAATATGGATCATCCAATAAAGTGAGACGACTCCTACTGTAACCTGAATACATGAAGCTGTTACTCGGCTTAGGCTCTGGTTACAAGTATTTCTGTGATTTTGCCGAATTAGTACTGTGTCGGCAATATTGTCTATGCACCCTACATCACTTTGTGATGGAATGTGAACAAATTTAAGAATTTAGAAATAACAGTTGTAAATGTTCAAGAAATTTGTATTTCTTTCAAAATGAACTTCCAGAAATGTTTGTCTATTATTGTAAGTTTGCAAACTGGTGGTAATACATGCAGGTGATTGTAATCTTTAAACTGCCACTCAAAATTATGGTGTGTATAGTAGTGATTCAATTATTATGTTCATAAAACAATAAACAAATAGTTTTGCTGTTATTACACTATATACACAGGTTATATATAAGTATCAGCATATTTTGTTCAAAATAATGAACCACTTGAGTTGGTATTATGAGTTAAAAAGCAACGAGGAGTGGCAGCCACACCAGCCAGCCTGCCACTCGCCACCACTCCCTCCCTCAACAACACCTCACTAGCCAACATTCTTCTCCCACCTTACTGTTTTTGCTTTTATTCACTATATACAGACATTATATATATATAAGTATCTACATATTTTATTCACTAACTCTAAAACTAAGCTGGTATGGTGGGCTCAGGCAATATAAGAGAGACGTTGCCACACACACACAGCTGGTGGCTGCCTCCCTCACTGGTTCAAGGCCAGACGCACTATTCTCCCCAACAATAATGTTTGTGGTGTTATTGCACTATATATATGAGTATCTATGTGTTTTATTTACCATAACTGTACAACTAAGCTTTTATGGTGCCCAAAGAGCATAGTGGCCACCCTCTACACAGCATGATTAGTCATGCAGATGATGCCACCTGCATCACCCAAATGGTTGCTCCTAACATACTCCTTTTGCTTTTTATTACACTAATACACGCATTATATATAAGTATCTACATTTGTGTTCACCATAAAAAACGACTAAGCTGGTATGATTAGTCCAGACAACAGGCGGCCACACAGATTCAGCAGACAACACTATACTTCCCTCAGCATTACTCCTCCCACAGTGCTAAGTATCACAAGAATTCTGCTATTATCACAATCCTGGTCATTTTGATCACAGTCAGGGGTCTTATGTAATACTCTCATCACTAAATAATAGCAGTTACATATTTATTTTGACATTTTAGGCGATGCTGTGGTCACAAGCTGAACAGCAGTGCTGTTAGCTCATGCTGCGTGCCCCAGTCTTGGTTGCTCACACAGTACTGTGGCTGTCACACCCGAGAATATTGCACACGATTTTTTTTAAACATGGCATCTGTTGACAAGAGCTCTGAGAAAGCTGATGTGAACCCCATGTAGCTGCGGGCCATTTGAATTGTGGGCATCACCCTATGTCATATATGTATGCTATGCACCTGGTGGGACATGTCACTCCAGTTGTATATATATGCCATGCGCAGCTTAAGGGGTTAACGAAAGGATGAACTCTTAGTGAAAATTTAATAATTATTTTTTTAATATACATAATCATATTGGTTTACCACTTTGATAATTACTTATTTGTGATATAATAGTATCTAGAAAATGTTTACAATACTCTTCTTGTTTTCAGAAATCAAGAGGAAACCATTGACAGTACTGAGTTGTGCGCAGAGGCCGAGAGTAACGGAACAGATAAGCCAGCTATTTCTTTGTTCCCACAATACAAGACCAGAATCATTATTTAAACCTCCAGATTAGAAAGAATTTGTGAGTACATTTTTAGGTTAAATTAATATTATGTATTCAGGCGATGAGTCACAATAACGTGACTAAAGTATTAAATTAAGAGTGGAATCGACTTGAGAATGGTCCATGACGGACCGAAACGTCGTCGTCCTTTCACCTTCTAGTGTGTGGTCTGGTCAACAATATTATGTATTAATGAAATATTAGTCGTAATAGGATTGCTGAGCATTAATTTCCACATTATAAAAACTATAGTACATACTGTAATTTTAAAGTAAAATTTAAGCTTGGGCATATCTAGTGGTTCTTGGCAGGTAAAGTTGTTAGTGTTTCAAGTAGAGTAAAAAATCCTAACGTTTTGGAAAGACTTTGGGCATAAATTAAGAGTGGTTATCTATAAAAGGCAACAGTTTAGTTTGTAGGTGGACTCTAGCCAAAAGGTTAACAAAAATGTTGATAGCTAAAATTTTGGCACATACCAAAAGCTTGCCATCTCGGTGCCGGTTGTCAACCTTCTTTATATACATAATTGTATTCTCCATTTTTAAAGACATTTTGCCAGCACAGTATAACCATGTACTTTATGTAAATTCAGAGGATTATGGGCATCCACAGCAGTTTTACATAAAATATCTTTTAAACTGTTTCTTATATTCATCAAGATTATAACCAGTATTTGAGGTCTTCTGCTTATTGAAGTAAGTCTGTTGAGGTCTTCAAGAGTATAATCTGGTATAAGGTTACCTGTAGTTGGAGTTATATATAATGATATATGCCCATGATGCTTATAATCAGCTTTAAAAAATTACCTGACATGCAGACGACGACGTCACAATAACGTGACTGAAGAAATAAAGACTAAACCACACACCAGAAGATGAGGAGATGACGATGTTACAGGTCCGGCCTGGACCATTATTAAGACAATCGACTTGATAATGGTCCAGGCCGGACCAAAACGTCGTCGTCTAATCATCTTCTGGTGTGTGGTTGAGTCTTCATGACCTGACATGTCTGCTTTCTGACCAGATATTGCCTCGACTGACCTCTCTTTGTTCCCAGTAGCTATATTTCTCACAGTTCCGAATTGCTAGTAATCTGACAGAACATGGTGCTATTTCCTCTTCCGTAATTTGTTAATTTAATGTTCATCTGCATGACAGACTTTAAAAAACAGCAGAGAAATGGGGTGTCTGGCATATATATTACAGAGGATAGGCTTGCGCTTGGGGCTGAGGACTGTTATCAGCCACCCTTACATTTAGTGGCTTGTGTTTTGGGACCTATTGAATGTTAAGATATAATATGAATATGTAAGATTGTATGGTTTTTCAGCATGTCTTGGTATTGTTTTCGTGAACTTTGAGACACTAGATTTGTGGCCAAGAACCAATTTTTTCCTTCTGGTATCGGGTCTCGGCCATGTAGCTTTCCTCATAATGTATCTTTATATGTGGTAACAATTGTTGTTTTACAGCCTGGAAATCATACATTCAGAAAAAAATCAAAGATAACAGTTAATATACAGTGGGGCAGTGACGCCTCCCAAATCCAGATCTCCTCCTAACTGATCCTTCTAAACAGCAAGTCAAATCTTCCTACTGGATTTTCAATCGGCAAGAGGAACATTCTTTCCATGGACAATGAGGCCAAGTTATTATAAAAGCATGATCATGGCTGTGGAGGAAAGTGATTGGCAGAGGAGTGCAGTATGTCATGGTAGTATTGATTTTTTGAGATAAAAAAAATGCATAATAAGTAGATCATATAGTTGTGAATAAAATGGAGAGCAGAGATAGAAAGAAAGGTGACATCAAAAATTGAAACCTTCTAAGCATGAGGATTTAGATGATGATGCAGACAATAAGTCATAATAACGTGGCTGAAAATTAGATACACGACGTACAAATCCGAAAACAAAGGAAGTGATAAAGATTGCTAACCACCATATCGTAGATAATAACATTTCATTTACAGTACTTGGACAATCAGAGCCTCGAACCGCGAACCACAACAGCAGCAGCCGGTGTTCCTACCAACTGAGCCACTAGCATCCATTATAAAGAAGGATCACAGACACCCACCTGGTATCCAACTAGAACTTCAGGCATTCCCTGGGGTGCCACTTTGGCATGAAGGTGTTAGGTGATCCACGTACGAGTCGTGTTAATTGTTAACCGCCATATCATCTGTAATAACATTTTATTCACCTGGACCATTATCAAGGCTTGTAATGGTTTAGGATGGACCAAAATAGTGTTACTTCCTTTGTTTTCTTTAGATAATGCTGTTTGTGAGGGATATATGCATTGATCCCTATAAGACCAGTTCAGGGTGATTGCTGAAGTTTATAGATGGCATGATATAGTACTTTAACTGTGTTCTGCTGCCTCTGTGTTATCTGGACCATTCTGTGCTAAACAAAAATGAATGAACAAATCAATTTAGGTATTTCATTTGTTTATTATTATTTATAATCTTATAATATAATTTATAATTGTGTAACACACACAATCACTATATAGTGCGTGTACTAATATGTATAAATGTGTATTACTTGCTGTAAGAAAAATTCAGACAAATTTGGTGATAGAGAGAAAGATTCAGAATTTGAATTTTTGGATAAATCTGGGTTGGGTCTAAAATGCCATAATCTGGATTTTGGAAGTGCCATTATATATTAAAAGAAAAAAATCCAAGCAGTGGCTACTGTATGTGTACACAGAGTGAGTCCTGTGAACAATAGCCTTGGTGAAACAGACACCAGTCCCTGTGTCCAAGTTGTTTCAAAGATAAATTCTTTCCTCTCAAGCCATTGTATCGAGGCTCCAGTGTACCATATTTCAGTTTACCAAGGCTTTTGCAGCAATTTCTTTGTCCTTTTCTGCTCCATCAATTTTTCTAAAAAAAAAAATTGTTTAATAACCATTACTACATTTGTGAAACTGTCTTTGCCACCTCTGACATTATTTGGTAGCAAATGTCACAATTACATGTGAAATTTGTTGTTAAAATTTATTGTCCATTATCACCACTATTTCTGTTTGCATAATGTAGACTGACTGCATGCAAGTTTTTAAATTGCTAAAACATTACGTGTTGTTGCAGATAACTGTTTAGCCATAGTTTCAAATACATGGTGAATAATTTTTTTCTCTCTCTGTGGCAGGTTAACTTATCATTTTTTTTCCCTCAGCCCTATGTTGTATGTGAAGCTATATTAGTGAAGTTTTGTTTGCAAAAGCTTAGCTTCAATGTTACCAAACATGAGCTCATAATTCATGTCGTTGGAGTTTAATATATGCCCTCTTTTTCCAGATACCAAAATGGTGCCAGACAGTAAAATACAGGCCATTGGGCGGGTGTTGCAAGATCCAAATCGGCCCCTGAAGGAACGTTTTCGTGCCCTCTTTACTTTGAAGAATCTTGGCGGAGAATGTGCCATAGCTGCCATATCAAAGTGTTTTGCTGATCCTTCTGTGCTTTTGAAGCATGAACTTGCTTATTGCCTTGGGCAAATGGGAGACATTCGAGCTATCCCTAAGCTAGTAGAAATATTAAAAGATGTTAATCAGGAACCCATGGTGCGTCATGAGGCTGGAGAGGCACTGGGAGCCATAGGCGATCCCACAGTTTTAGATCTTTTAAGAAGTTATAGTAAGGACCCAGTTACTGAAGTAGCAGAAACATGCCAGCTAGCTGTGAGTAGAATCGAATGGTTGCAGAGTGAGTGTAGCAAAGTTGAAAAGTTTAATGGTGCTGATAAATTTTTTTCTGTTGATCCTGCACCACCAGCAATGGAGACAAATATTAATAAGTTGAATGAAAGGTTAGTTGACGAATCACTCTCTCTCTTTGATAGATACCGTGCTATGTTTTCCCTTCGTAATCTGAACTCTCCCGAGAGTGCAAAGGCACTTGCAACAGGATTTAAGTGCAACAGTGCTCTTTTTCGTCATGAAATTGGGTATGTATTGGGTCAAATGTCCCATGATATTGTAGTAGAAGAATTAGCAGCTGTTGTACGGGATGAAAAAGAAAATGAGATGGTGCGCCATGAAGCTGCAGAGGCTCTTGGCTCGATTGCAACAGAAGCAGCAATGACGGTACTTAAGGAATATCTTGGAGATGAAGCTAGGGTTGTTAGGGAGAGCTGTGAAGTCGCATTAGATATGTCAGAATATGAAAATAGTGCTGAATTTCAGTATGCTGATGGACTACTTAAGCTAGAGGAAAATGAAAATGGAATGACTGGGTAGGAATGAATATACAGGGTGAATGAAGGAGCATGAGTATGTACCTAATTGTGATGTGTATGTGTGTGTGTGTAATGTCATTGTAGTTACAGGAATACAGTAATTTTGCTTGTGGTTTCCCATCTTAATTTGCTTTATCATATATAGACTAGAAAATCTCAGTGGTCTTGGCACACAGTTTGGTACCATTTCTGGCAATTTATTCCATCTGTCTGCCACCTTTGTTATTGAAGAACAGCTCTTTGTGTATTTTGTCATTTTTGTATACTTACCAACTTGTTGCTGTCTTTTGATAATTACAGTATTTTCTTACTCTTTGTTTACCTAACTTGTGTGTTTTGACCTTTTCGTCATGTTACTGCTGGCTTCAAGAAACCCTCTACATTAATCTTTTCCAGTGCCATTGCCATCGGGTAATTGATGATACGACCTCTCTTCCCTCTATAGCAAATCTTCCAGTTTTGCTATATTCAGCAACTTAAAAAAAAAAATCATAGTTTTTGTTACTTTTTAGGAACTGTTTGCTTGCATGTCATTGATCCCCTTTGTTTAACTATACTGTTACATATGCTTTTTTTTTCACACCACCGCATAAGTTACATATGCCAGCTTAGTTATTTGGTATGTGGCATAGTGGTTAGTGCATTTAGCTTGGAACATTTCTGGGCCTAAGTTTGATTCCTGGGTAGGAGGGGAGACATTTGGGCATATCTCCTTACACCAGATGCCTCTTTACTTAGCAGTAAATAGGGGTTCTGCTTTACTTAGCAGTAAGTAGGGTGGGGTTGCAGCCAGGTCAAGTCAGTGATTGGTCTTAGTAAACATAAACAAAAACATTTTATTTTGACAAAAGTACATACATTCAAGGATACAAGCACATTGTTGGATTCCTAGGTAGGCGAGTACTTCGCCTAAAGTCACTAATACGCAGAACACTTCAGTACCACAGCAAGCCTTGCAGGCATCTTATTCCCGGGAATGGGAAAAACATACTATGATTGTCCTTAGTATCTCTCCATCCATTTATTTGAAAGCTATTTTGGTTAGGCTGGCATTTAAAAAGGCTACCACAACTATGCCTTCAATGTAACACACTTGTGACATTTTACTATAAATGACCACCTTAGATTTGTCTTTGACTTCTGTAAGTGTTGGATTACATAGTTTGTGTGTGTGTTTCCAAATTCTATTACATGGTATATAATTGCTTTTTTAAATTTAATTATCCCTTACATTGTGAAAATGTTACATGTGGCATTATCTGTATGCAGATAGAAAAATAGTATTCAAAAGAAAGTTTTTGTCTTAAACTAAAACTCAAGCATAGGAACAAGTCCTGAAAATTGGCACTTTTCAATATGGCGAATGTTTGCTGGAGGCCTCAAATATCGATTGGAAATATCATATACCAATGAGAGTTCAGAATATTATAAAATACTATGAACATCATATTTATTTATTTATTTATTTATGCATATACAAGAATGTACATAAGGAATGTGAGGATACAATTATGGTAATTACAGTCTTGTAAAGCCACTAGCACGCGCAGCGTTTCGGGCAGACACGATACACACCACTGGTCGAACATCATATGAGGTACATCATACAGTCCATGGGTTTACTAGTTTCTGCTCCTATGACCTTCATTTATTCCGATCATTTTGTAGCATGTTGCAGTTATTTAAATCTCTCGCCCATCCTGATATCTATATCATCTGGATCATTGAAAATTTGAAATCGAGCCTCAAAAGTAGAAGATCGCTGTTGTACCAACCTGGCCATGGATACTCACATTGATCCATTTGTTCATTTATTTTTTAATATCTTCACGTACATAAGTTATGTAGACTACAATTTCTGGAGATAGTGTCGGAAAATCCGACACCATTTAATTTATCATACAGACAGATAATAGCTGTGTTGTATAAACAAGTTAACCCATAGAAAACGTAACTTGTAGTGGAATTACCATCTAAAGAAAACGGGATATCATCACCACATACTATTATATTCACCACCTATTATGGTGGGAATTATTCTTAAATACATTAGTCTTTGGACTTTACCATTATAAAAACATCTCATATAAATTAACTTAATTATCAATATTAAAGTAGAGTAAATGTGACCCTTCTATCACTTATTGACATCTGGACAATGTAGGCCAGGCGTCAATGGGGAAGGAGGGCAGCCATTGTTTACTAGACCAGAGGCGCAGGGAGCAATTCGGCTCCTGTTAATTTTACTTGGACGAAGTGTTATGGAAACCAAAGGTGTACCATTATCACACGCTGTCAACAAATTCAAGTTAAGTGTCTTTCCGAAACCCGTATATCTATCATTAGTGGTCATTAATGTCATTGGGTAGGGTGACCCGTTAGATCACGAAATCGCCTCATACTAAAGGTAATTAAGCCAGGTCTTCATTGTTCCATGTACAGTATTTTCTCTGACATAGCTTGTCATATATAGGTATCTGGCTTTACAGCTAGCGCCCTTTTGACAGGTCAAGACGAGGAAGCATGCTTTGTACATCAGTTACCAGGGTGATGGAAGCTACCTCAAAGAGGGAAAATGTGGCGTCTACAACCTAGTTATACCTGGTGGACTAAAGCTTGCTGTACAAATAAGATAAGGAACCTCTTCAATGTATGTAGTCTAATACTGTAGTTTGATTGGCTGCATATATATAAATTTAATTAATATAAACCCCCCTAATGTGTAGAGGATCGATTTGTGAGATTATGACATTATTGCAGAAATACAGTCCACTTATCATTATACAAATTGCTATCGAAGTATATAAATTAACGTAAATATATATTCATATAAATTAAATAAATATAAATCTCACAGGTCGGTTCCCACAGTTAGAACTAAACCATGTTGGAACCCACTAATGATGTTTCTCTAGTTATGTACCCTCTAATCAATGCTCTCTTCTTGCATGTTAGGAAATCCTTCACGCACTTCAATATTTGTCCAGTTACTCTTTCCATGTGCTCAAGCCTCCATGACAATCTGGTGTGGTATTTGGTTGAATGATTTTTGAAAGTCCAATTATATGGAATCAGCCTAACTATTTTCACTTTTATGATCTTAATAACTTGTAAAAATTCAGTAGGTTCATTGCGTATGGTTTTGCTGTCCTGAATTCAAATCGATTGTTCAGTATCGTCGGTCGTTCTTATTTTTAAATGATACAGCTCTTTCAGTGTGATTGCATTTTCTTTTGTCTTTGCTACCACATTATTTAGAAATACTGTTCTATAATTTCTATCAGTTTTCCTTTTTTATGTTTTTGATAGTGAAATTCCAATTATATTGTTGCATTTTCTGTATATCTGCTAACTTTTTTGCAAAGATGCTTTGATTCAAGGTTAATAGGAGCTGTTCAACAAATATCAACAAAACGTTCTTCTATTTAAAAAAAAATTGTCTAAAATCAATTTCTGAAAATATTTTGATGAAAGTTTCATGATGCTGAAGCCAATAAGTTGGAGATTTGTTTAGCATTTTAAAGTAATTTTTACCTAATTTGAATATTTTTCGCTTCCTTGCCCCTTATGCTGAGCAGTTTAGGGGTTAAAGAAGTATCATGCTGAACTGTAGCATACTTGTACCTCCATGCTTGGAACCAAAGAGGTGGCTCATGTATCTACAAGCATGTGCTATTCCCTGACGAGTCACTTAACTGTACACAAGTCTGTCCTGTCCAGTTCCTATCCACTGACCAGCCAGTCACAGCCTAGCTATTCACCTCTTCTTCCTGGACAAGAGATAAATTATCTTGTCCCAATGTGTATTAATTCTGGATATTATAATTGTATATGCCATAAGTGATTGAAGTATTTATCCTAATAGCTTTAGCGTTTTTAAGTAAAAAAGGAAGTGAATATGCGCTTGAGCTAAAAGTTAAAATATGCATTTGTTTATACGCATATGCATATCAATAGTTATCCTAAGTTAAATTTAACAATGGTTATATTTGTTAAATTTAACATGGAGAATCTGCAAGGAACAGAGTAACTTCAAATACAAAAAAGCTTGCATCTCGATGTCTGTGCATGTGTCTCAAATCATCAAGTAGTTGCTGTTATCCATAGGTCACTGCACATTTAGTTGGCCAAATATTTGAGGTCGTGAGGGTAAACTAAGGAAAATACAGTACTTGGGTATCAGTAAATTTAGGAACCTAGAATAAAAAAAAAGTGCCCAGGAAGGAATGTAAAAATATATATATATATATACAGGGTATATATATTTTTATGTATATATAGCAGGGAAGGCAAAGCAATTCTAAAGTTTTTTTTTTTCAGATACAGTACTGTGTATTAAACAAAGATTAGGGAGAACAGAGCCATTGAAAAATGAGTTGGGGTCAGGTAACTGCTAATGACAAAGAAATGGGTGCCATTTTTAATAAGTATTTATTTATTTATTTTATTTATTTATGCATATACAAGAATGTACATAAGGAATGTGAGGATACAATTATGGTAATTACAGTCTTGTAAAGCCACTAGCACGCGCAGCGTTTCGGGCAAGTACAGTATTTTGCATTCACTAGAGAACTTTATGGTGGAGAAAAGGACAGACAGGTTAACTAGTGGTTACCAGGGAGGAAGTTGTTTATACAGGTATGCAAATGAAAGGCCAACAGGTCCCCAAGGCCAAATCAGGGTTCTTAAAGAATGCAAGGAACAACTTGTTGAACCCCTTTTCTTTTATTTTTAATAAATCATTAGTTGGGCCGAGTACCAAAATTGTGGAGGGTTTCAAATATGGTTCCAGTTTTATGAAGAGACGGCTGATCACTTATCAGACTACTTTAGTTTAGTTCATTTATTATGCACCCCATACCCATCTTGTGGGCGGTAGTGGAAAGGGTTACAGAGGCACATAATGGGCTCAGGGACTGAACCCCACAATTCATTTAGCTAAGCAAGTTACAATCTTGATGAGCTAGTTACAAAATTCAATATAAGTCATCACATCAACAATGGGTTCGAGATCGACCTCAAGTACAGGTTCTAAATTAAGCAACTGACATATGTGGAGAGCTAGTGTCAAAATTTATATGTTTGTCCTGCACACCGCCCCCCATCCAGTGGGCAGCGGTGGATAGGTTACAATCACTTAGTTACTACCTACAGTTAGCAAACTGGGGATATTTGGCTAAAATTTCTGGTAGCAGATCATTTTGAATGAAATATTGACACATCGCTGGAACATTGGTTATAGAATTGTCTCTAAATTCACGTATCTTTTCGCACTCCATCACATAGTGACGGAGGGTGTGCGAATAATTTTGTTGACACAGTTTACATTTGGTCAGGTCTACATCAGCAGATAATGAGAATTCCCAGAGATACTTGTAACCGAGTCTAAGCCGAGCAGTAGTAACATCTAGAAGTCTGCTGATTTTATTGGATGATCCATAGATGTGTGGCTCCTCTTGCATGATAGTATGATGATAGATGGAATTACTGGTGTCAATTTCACTTTGCCTCAGATCTACAAGATCTTGTTGAAGTTCTCGGTGTACTGCTGCTCTCAGATTGCTCATTGACAATCCAAGGTTACACTCAACGGCTCCTTTAAAGGCAGATTCTTTGGCTAACTTATCAGCTCTATCATGCATTCGGAGGCCAACATGAGATGGAGACCACATGAAATGGACTCTGTTACCATCCTTAATAATTTTGTTGTATTTGTGTCTAGCTTCGGACACGAGCATGTTACAGTTATGTCTTAAAGAGTTGAGAGCATTTAAGGATGATAAGGAGTCACTTACAATTAATGTATCAAGTTTTGAGACTTGTACACATTTCAGTGCAAGGATCAAGGCAAATAGTTCAGTCTGAAGGGTAGAGGCCCAGTTGTTTATACGGACTCCCCACTCAAAGTATAGGCCATCGCCCATTGTCAGGACAACTGCACTTCCAGCTGCACCCGTGGTGCGGTGTAGGGAACCATCAGTGTATATAATTTGAGAGAGAGAATGCTCTGTGGACAGAGCATCAATATGGCTTAAGGCGTTGAGCTTTGCCTCAAGACGAAGCTTGGGCTGATCTCTAATTTGCTTCTTGGGTGGAAAGGGAGGGATTAAAACTGGAAAGGGTGTAACCTCCCACGGTGCAGGAAAGTGCCGTTGTTGTTTCTCTTGGTACAAATCATGAACCCCATACATTCTGAGTTGAGT